TGCAGAGAATCTTCCAAATCTTATTTTACAGGATCTCCAAAAGATCTTCTCACAAGGACATGTACAAGATCATGCAAGGACCTCTTAGGGAGGACACCACCAGGATCTCCACAAGATCTTCTCACAAAGACAACCGTTTTGTGCGGGCCTGCGCAGTCGACATGCACATGGACATGACATCTCAGAGGAAACATTCTGTGCGGAAATTTACAAGAAAAATGCCGCGCCCAAGAATGGGACCCACGTTTTGTGCGAGCCTGGGCAGTCGAAATGCATATGTAATAAATATATGTTTTTTTTATTTATTTATATATCTATCTATCTATCTATCTATCTATCTATCGATCGATCGATCGATCTATCGATCTATCGATCTTTCGATCTTTCCATCTTTCGATCTTTCTATCTTATCTAATCTTATCTTTTCTATCTATCTATCTATCTATCGATCGATCGATCGATCTATCGATCTATCGATCTATCGATCTTTCGATCTTTCTATCTTATCTAATCTTATCTTTTCTATCTATCTATCTATCTATCTATCCATCGATCGATCGATCTATCGATCTATCGATCTTTCGATCTTTCTATCTTATCTAATCTTATCTTTTCTATCTATCTATCTATCTATCTATCTATCGATCTATCGATCTATCGATCTATCGATCTATCGATCTATGGATCTATCGATCTATCGATCTATCGATCTATCGATCTATCGATCTATCGATCTATCGATCTATCGATCTATCGATCTATCTATCTATCTTATCTAATCTTATCTAATCTTATCTAATCTTATCTAATCTTATCTTTTCTATCTATCTATCTATCGATCTATCGATCTATCGATCTATCGATCTATCGATCTATCGATCTATCGATCTAACAATCTATCGATCTAACGATCTATCGATCTATCGATCTATCGATCTATCGATCTATCGATCTATCGATCTATCTATCTTATCTAATCTTATCTAATCTTTTCTTTTCTATCTATCTATCTATCTATCCATCCATCCATCCATCCATCTATCTATATATCTATATCTGCGTATATATATATAAATATACATATGTGTGCGTGTCTATTTAAATTTATGTTCATAATGCCTCCATGCGTGTTTTTCCCACAGTTGCCCGTCATTTTCTGATTGCTGTTTCGTGAGTTGCTTCTTCAGTTCCCAGTCTCTGCCTCGAGGGCCTGCTTGGCCGCCACAGCCCGCATCGCCTTGGCGTTCAATGGAAAGATGGAAAAGAAAAACAGGTCCAAATGATCCTGAATATGAAATTATAAATTATAAAAATTATAAAAAGATTCTGAATATGAAAGACCTGACTACCGTATCTCATCAACGGTTCAAAATCAAGCATGGTTCTTCATCAGTTTCTTCACGTCTTCCGCCGTTCTTTTCAAGTCTGAACGTGTCATGAGACATCTGGGCGTTCCCACTGCTGCGGCTGCTTCTCGCCTTTCCTTTCGAAGCCGTTTCTCGTAAGCAGCCATGGCCTCAGAAAGACTCAGAAAGACTCAGACAGGCCGTGGCTCAAACGGCCGTGGCCCCACAAAAAGTCACGAGCCCAAGGCCTCTTTGGATGTCTCGCCGTCTGGCACCCTGCATCAGTCTGTGTCAGTCTGTGTCAGCCTGTGTTAAGAGAGTAGCTCAAAATCACAAATGCGTACTCAGAAATGCGTAGCATTTCATCGCCATTCGTGGCAAGGATCCCTTTGCCCTGTACAAAAAATAACGTCCCATCTGGCTCGAGGATGTTCAAAGCATCCTCAGGAACCCTGAAGGTTTGGCCATGTCCAGACAAAGCTGGCCTCCATCTCTGAGTCTCCTTGGCGGTCTCTCAAGAGGATGCAACAAATCGACGTCATCGTTTGTTTCCCTCAGACTCTATGCTCTTGATGTTTCTCCTGTGGGAACTGATGGGAATTGGATGGACGTGGATTGGAATTTGATCCAAGAACCCGATGCAACGCCTTGACAAATGAACACACCATGAACACACCATGAACACACCAAAACCAGCGCAGGGCAGCTTTGCCTGGGCAGCTGCATTTGCTGCATTGCGCTCCGAGACCAAGGTCTCCAAGACTTCATTCCTGGTCTACGGGCTGTGCACAGGCCACATCAGGCCACATCAGGCCACATCAGGCCACATCATATTTCCATATCTTTAGATATCTTGATATGTTTGATCTCGAAACTCTCGCTCTGTTTCTCTTTGATTGATGCGATGCCGCAGTGCACCAAGGCATGCAGTTGGCCCAGGCGCTTCCGCTGGAGCTCCGCGATTTCGTCGTTCAGCTCCGCGAAGGGTGCGGCCAATGCGGAGCTCACCACTTGGCCCTGCCACGCGACCGACACGTCCAACATGACACATCCGAATCTGCCAAGCCAACATTCACCATGGCCCGTCGCCCGCTGGACCTCAACGCCGCTGGACCTCAGAAGAAGCATGCGAAGCCGTGCAAAAGACGCGCAAAAGACGCACAAAAGACGTGCAAAAACACAAAGACAAAGACTCACTGTCTCCTGAATGTCATTTCCCTCGACTGTTCCACGACAAGCGGTTGAAGACCCAAAAGCGTTGGGGCAAAAAGTTCCAAAGTGATTAAAGGGCCCGATGGAAATCGATCCCAAGATATCCCAAGCTCCCAACGAATTCAGAATTTCATCGCCGTCATCGTCATAGTCCTCATCCTCTGGTGCGTCTGGCTGGGCCTCGTGAAATTCATCCAGCAGTTAGCCTCATGTCCGCATCCTGAGAACTCGTAAGATTTAGTTACCAAGATGGAACATAGAGGAACGATAGAGCAATTCCACACGAAGTACAAATGTGCTGCTGCATTTGTAGATGTTTGCATGCTGTTTGTTGACTGACCTCGACTTCGAGCTCTGAAAAACCGAGTTCTGAAGAGGACTGAACTGAGTTCTGAGATGTTCTGAGTCTTGAAAAATACTGGGGCGGGTCCAAGGGGTGCACAGTCTCACCCTGCAATCTGCTGGTGGCCGGCGGCGACCTCGGAGGTCTTGACCTGCGCAGAAGTGGCTTCTGGCGGCGCTCCGCAACTGGCATACTGGCACGCTCGAGTTTGAAACCTCCATTCTTCTTGTCTTCCTCATATCAATATATGTTTATGTTTAAATTATATCAATCTTCATATCTTTGTATCGATTATTGTCACATCTTCAAAATTCTTCAGATCTCATCCCTGACCATTTTCAATCAACGCAATACAAATAATTCCATCTCATTTGTACTAGATTACTAGATATCTAATCAGTTCTAATCACCCTTATCTCCGCCATATCTGTGGCACAGCCTCCCAGGTGCAGAGCGTGATGGCCTTGGCAAAATTACAAGAGACAAGGTCAGGACAAGAGATTTGAAAAAAAAAGATCAAAAAATACTAAAATGACTAAAATCTGACATATGAACAAAAATTAGATGAAAAAGATTGAAAAACATAAGAATTACAAGTCTGGCACTTCCTTGGGTCGGGCCCCCAGCGTGGCATGACTTCTTGGTGGCATTGCTCGGGTTTGTACGACTCGCTTTGCCTCCATGCTCGAAAGCACATCAACTTGAAAGCAATGCAAAAACGCCATCCATAGTACCATTGAAGTGTAGCATTTCATCACCTCTCCCCAAAGCTCATCACATTCCCTGCATCTGGCTGAATAAGGTATTCACCAAGCTGAAACAGGGTGATGCTGTGATGTCGGAGCACTCCCCTAACTTTCAATCATTCATCTTGTCGTGGCAAGTCGTCATGATTCAATCGCATCTGAATCAGTCGTATTCTATCGATGTCCTTCCGAAGCTCTTCATGTCTTTTTCTAATATGTTCTATCTCTTCATGTTTCTTTTCCGTCTCTTTTCTTATCTTTCTTATGTCTATGGTCTTCGTATCTTCGGACGGTCTGTTTGGTGCCTGGCGTGGCGTGGGCGTGGAGGTGGCGCTGACCTGGTCCATTTCTGCGACACCGAATCGAATCTGTGTCGTGAAGGAAGCATAATGAAGCATATATATATAATTTATATATATATAAATATAGATAGGATGTCCAATATATTTTCAAGATTGTTCTATATTATCTGTGTTATTCAATGGTGATCCTGATAGAATTCTGATATGCCAATTATCTATTCGTGCGAAATTGTTGTCAGAATTTTATCACATCGTCATCTTGAACCCATCTCAAAGGAATCTCCAAAAATGATGCCTTTTGTGCTTCGATCTCACGTTGCAGCAGCAGCACCTGCACAAGCAAGCGTTCCAGAAAGTGATTATGCTACTGTATTTGTTGTACTTGTGTTTCATTCTGTTTCATTGTTTTTCACTGTTTTTCATGCTTAATTGAATTGGAATAGATTGAAGTCCTGGCAGTTCAGGGCTGCCCTGGAGCAGTTCTATGGCATCTCATACGTGTTTTTCTACTCCTTGGACTAAGACTTCTGACACATCTTACATCGTCTACATCGTCTACATTGTCTTACCCAATTTGCAACATCGACGTCAGCCCACCATCACTCCATCACCTGCTCCTGGGAGCCCTTGACACGCTCTCGGTCCTGAGTGGCACTCAACACGTCACCCAGCACGTCTCCTTTTGTGGTCTCATGTGGAACCGTAAAGGCGTCAGAATCAACTGATTGTACTGATTCAACTACAAAGGAACTAGGTAACTAGGTGCTTTATTCTTTCACGCACTTGCCATGTTGCAGGGCAGCCATCGTTCCAAGGCACCTGTTCCAATGCACGTCGCATTTTCTGGAATTCATCGTTCATCTTGCTCTGCTCCTCCAAAAAATGCGGTGGCATCTCACAGTCTGAAATCACTATGTGCACTGAACTAGGTGGCTTAGGCAATATATAACAATCTACGGCAAAATACAATATAGATCAATGGAGATGTTTTTTTTGCAGTATTGCTACGTTACGGTACGTTCTATACAGGTCTCGTATTGCGCGCTGTTTTGCTCTCAAAGCTGTTTCTCCATTCGTTTCACTGCAAAGCGGCCACCAGAGACCTCAGCCAACCTCTCAAATCCAGCTTTGGACTGCCCTTGGCCGCCTTGGCCGCTCTGGAAGGCTGCAGTTGCGTTCGGAAGCGGGGCTTTGGCAAAAGGCACCGAAGGCACCGAAGGCTTCACAGGCTGGAAGGACTGGGGCGTGCCCAGCAGGGAATTCTTGGGTCGTTTCAAAGTCATGCCCAGATTAGTCAAGGCGACACCAACACGAGCCGAGGTTGGAGCGGGCGTGGCCGCAGCCGCTGCAGCCGCAGCTTCACTCTTCCGAGGCGGAATCTCCAACCATCGTTCCACTGCAGGATTCCGCAGCACTCGGTTCTGCAGCGCAGCGGTGATCATGTTCGTACACATAAAGATGAAAACACCTCAAGGGTCGGACAGCAAATCGAAACCCATGGGACACAAATAAGCCATCAGACCTCCGGTTCGATCAAATGTTTATAAACTGAATAAGGGGCCCAAGTTATCCACGTTGGTCTGCACAACAGCTTAAAGATGCTTAAAGCATCTTTTAACACTTAGACTTAGAAAATTGATGAAAATTAAAAAGTTCTGTTCATGTCCTTTGCGCACCTGAAGGAAAGCCAGCTGTGAAGGGAATGAAAAACAGCGCAGAGCCACGAGAGAAATACTTGCTGTATCTCTGCATGGTGCTCGGCCCTCCAGGCGTCTCGCTTGTAGATTCTGTTGTTGGTGCCTCCGTGTCTACAGATCCAAAGAGCTCCTGGTTCGTGATCCTCAAGCTGAACCGAACTTGCTGAATCTTGGTCACGAAGAATTTTCAGAATCTGACTCATTGAATCTGATTTGATCTATACAATTTGATCTGATTTGATCTGATTCGCTGGTTTGTTTGACATGTTTGACGGAGTTCGGAGTTTAACGGAGTTTGACGGAGTTTGATCGCTAAAGAGTTCCTTCTTTGATCTTCTTAGTCTTCTTCATAAATAAAAAGATAAAGAAATTTAAAGAATCTGAAATATGAGTCTGTAAAGTTGTATAGACATGTTGGCTTGTGACTTCAGCTATGCATCCACTTGCGTGGCTTAAGGGACATAGGATGAAGAACCTCGCTCAAGGGCTGTGTGCTAGCGAAAACAGTGATCGTTCTTGTGACCCTTCGCCTTGCTTCGGGAACCCCCAGTTTTACAGTGGTAGCGGAGCCCGGCTTCGGTTGGGCCACCCCAGTAGTGTTCTGTTGTTTTGGAGAATCTTTGATTTTTGGGGAAGGTCACTGGTTTCCTAGCTAGCAGCCCTTGATCGGGGATGTCTGGCGGCGTTGGTAATGGTGCTGGTGTGGCAGTGCCGGCATCTGATGGAGATCAAGATCCACTCGGCGCGAGTGGTGGGGATGAACCGAGTGAAGGTCGCATGAATGCAGCAGACATGGCTGCCTTTCGACGCTTCCAGAGGTTTTTGAGGACAGAAGAGGCGACGGGTTCGCCACCAGTACGTCGTCGACGCCGTCGTGACGATGATGAGGACGAAGAGGAGGAAGGGCGTGGCTCTTCAGGACCACCGCCCACGTGGGATGGGCTTTCGAGCTTTGAGGACTTTCACATCAAGGCGAAGTTCTGGTTGGCGACGACTAAGGTCAAGCCTAAGGCCCGGGGACCCTTGATTTTGAAGTCGCTCACAAGTGCACCTTTTGAGCACTACAAGCACCTCGCCAAGGATGCGGCATGGTTGGCAGATTCCAGAAATGCAGAACTTCTTCTAGAAGATATGAATCGTCCAGAAAACTATGGTGATGACAGGCAAGAACACCTTCTTACCTCACTCTCTCGAGTGACCTACCATTTGCGTAGGGGAAAAACCGAGACATGGCGCGAATTTTTCGCGCGATGGGACACCGCATTGCGGAAGATTGCCGAGCACAAGGTGGTCTTGCCCGAGGAGTACCAGGGATTTCTCTTGATCAATGGCTTGCAGCTGTCAGAGACAGAAACACGGGCCATGTTGAACTTCACTCATGGATGTATTCGACCTACATCAGTGAAGGAATGGTTGCGGAAGAATGAGACAAAACTATCGGCAGCTGAACTTGGTGCCGATCGGAAGAAACCCAATGGAGTGATGCTCACCGAGACGCTGGATGATGGAGATGATCTGGAAGAGAACGAGATTGACGAGGAGATTAACGAGTTGGAGGCCTATTTGGTGGACTACCAGCAGAACCAGGAGATTGATCCCGAGGAGATTCTCGACGAGAACGAAGCGGCGGAAGTCCTGGCGACAGTCCTCCACCAGAAGCGCTCCTACAAGCAGGCTCTGAAACTTCGGAGGGAGAAGGAACTCAGCCGAGGTTATGGAAAGGGCTCCAATGTACCTTTCTCAGGAGGAAAGGGTCGAGGGAAGCACAGTGGCTCCAATCGATACAATGTCTCCATCGAGGAGATACGGAAACGAACCAGATGTTGGAACTGCAATCAAGTTGGACATCGAGCTGCTGAATGTGGTCAGCCTGCAAAGCGTGAGAGCAATGACGGGAACAAGGTGAATGCAGCCCATCACTTGGAAAAGTTGACGGACACGAACGAAGCCTTCTTCGTCGGTAGCCTGAACCTTGAGCCAGACTTGACACCACCTGTAAATAGCCAGGTAGATTTTGCAGCTGAGCCCAATAGCTGGCTTCAGGACATTGCACAGTCCGAGATTTGTGAGGATTACAAGGTAGGAAGCAGCATCCAGAGTCAGAGTTTGATGAACGGTTTTGGCGATCATTGTGACCGTTTTGATGGTTTGTTTTTCTTTGAAACTTGGTTTTGTCAATCGGTTGGTAAGTCAAACGGTAAATCTGATGACACTTGTGGTACTGTGGACACTGGTTGTCAGAGACTTGCAGTGGGGGCCATGACTCTTCGGAAGTATGGAAGACATCTACCTGAACCCCTACAAGTCACCTTGCAGTCAGAGATCAACAGATTCAAGAGCGTCCATGGCACATCAACCACTCACAAGGTAGCCAATGTACCATGCAGTTTGGGAAATAGAGGTACGATTTTACGACCTGCAGTTTTTGAAAGCAAAGCAAGTGAAGAAGCTCCATTGTCATTTTTGATGCACTGCAATTGTGAACTAGTTCTGTCTCCACAAGAAGGACTTGCACTTAGGATGCAGGGGGTTCCAGATCTAGTTCCACTTCACATTGGTCCATCAGGAGCGTTGAGAATTCCGTTGCAACAATTTTCATCAGTGATGATCAGCGGGATCAAGAAGCTTCAACAAGATAAACAAAATCAGCATGAGCATGAGTTTGAGATTTTGAACTTGGACGATGCGGCAGAACTCAGTGCTCAGGCCCAAGCTAGAACCACCTCGAGCTCTTCTCCGGTTTCTGAACCTTGCCATGGAACCGGGACTCAAACGCGCCCGTGGTCAACCTCCTTCAACGCAGCCCAACTCGTGGGCTCGTATGGTGCAGAAGCTGATGGCCCTGGTGATTCCCATGAACTACTATCTCGAGAACATGATGCAGGCGTCCAACAACAACCGGCGCCTCGCCAAGAAGATGGTCAACAGCTTGAACATGGAGGACTTGATCTTCACGCGCGAGTTGGTGAATGCCCAGATCCACAAGATGCAGTTGGAGTACGACGAAGAGGACAGCGGAAGCTTTTCTCTGGTTCCCTCGACACCGGGGAAACGCCCAGAAAGTCCACCACCGAGCCGCGGCTATCGCCAGAGATCCAGTGCGTCTTCGGCAGCACCTACGGAAGTCAGCGTGGCAACACAGAAGAGAGGCGAAGCCAAGGTGGGGGACGTCCATGGCCTGGAGGTGATCTACGGAGACAACCCGTCATGCCATTGTGGTCTGATGGGACGACTTCACCTGGCACAGACGGAGGGCCCGAACTTCGACCGGACCTTCTTCCGGTGCCCACGACCAATTGGGAACCAATGCCGATTCTTCATGTGGACGACACAACAGCCGTTCCACGATGTGACCAGCTGGAAGTACCAGGATCAAGGCCAAGGCAGGACACCTCCTGCAGAAGCTCTTCAGCTGATGGTTCAGGAGAAGTGCACCCATCCCAAAAAGACACGTCAAGGAACGAATGGCCTGGAGGAACGCGAGACCTGCAAGATCTGCCGCAAGATTCTCAAGCAGGAGCCGAAGCACGGAATCGGGTCCAAGGCCAAGAACAACCAATCTGGGACTTCGTCAACGGCATCAGCAGAGGAGATGCTCGAGTTCCAGAAGTTTCTGACGTGGCGCAGGGGAGGCGAGAAGTGAGTGCAGAGGCATTGAGGCCCCTGACAGATCGACAGAGTCGTCAAATCAGGTCGGCTCTTGAGAAATCAATTAGTTTTTGGAAACAGATCCAGAACACCCTTTTGAACCTTGGCCAACCAACGGCTGATGTTACCACGACTATAAGGCAGATGAATGAGGAAGTCTGTCAAGAGTTTGCCAAGTGTCCGCATGGATCAAAAAGAAGTAAGCATTTTGCTGAGATCATGGGATTGTCACACAAGCAATTGAGAACTGTGGTTGAAGTTTTTAATCCTGAATGTTTTGGACAACGGACGGACAGACATGGACTGACTGCGGGACGTGCTTTTGACATAGTTTTGGGAGATGACATTTTGCAGAAAGGTACTCAAAAAGAAATCATCAGGTATATTACTGAGGTCAAACCAGGTCTTGTGTTGATTTCGCCACCATGCAAGTTATATTCACAGTTGCAGAATTTGTCGAAAAACAAACGTGAAACGAAACCTGAGTTGATGAAACAGTTCATTGAAGAACAAGCCAAGGCAAAAAGGTTGTTGAGGTTTGCCATTGAGTTGTGCGAATTATGCAGATCACTGAATCTCAAGTTTGTTTTTGAACATCCATATACTGCCACCTCATGGCAAGATGCTGCCATGATTCGTTTGTTGAAGCGCGCCGATGTGCATTTTGCCCGCGCTGACCAATGCAGCTTTGGTTTGAGAGGTCCAGAAGGAGGACTACATCAAAAGGCGACTGGATTTCTGACCAATTGTCAAAAGATGGCACAAGTCCTAAGCAGGCGATGTGATAGAAGCCACCAGCATGAAGTGATCATCGGGGGCACGAAATCTAGGATGGCTCAACAGTACCCGGTGAGACTAATCGATGCGATCTTGAAATGCCATAGTGAACATCTTGGCATTCCGATACAGATCAAGGAGGCGAACGTTCTTTTGGAAGAGATCTATCACCTGGACTACGTCATCAACGAGCACTTCAAGAAGATGGAGGATCCTGGACAAGTTGGCGGATCTGAACTTTGTCAACGAGATGAACCTGGACAAGATGAACATCAAGGTGAATTACACGAGATCCTTGCGGGCGCAATAGATGAACCAGAGGAAGAGGACCTGGTTCAGAAGGAAGAACCACCGGAAGAAGGACGAGCTTTACCACTAGCCGACAGATTCAGTCTTTCTCGGTTAGTTCGACGGGCCCATGAAGGACTAGGACATCCAGACCGAGATCGCTTTTTGAGGATCCTGAAGTACTCCAAGGCCAAAGCCGACGTGCTGGCAGAGGCCAGACGTTTTACTTGCAGTGTCTGTGAAAGACACCAGCAGGTGCGACCGACAAGAAGGAGCGCACCGCCAAGGGAACTGGAGTTCAATGACTGTGTGGGAGTAGACGTGATCTATCTTCCACTACCTGGAGGACAACACAAGACCCGTCCGGCCCTGAACATCATAGACTGGAGTTCGAAATTCCAGTTGATGATCCCTTTGACTGACAAGAAACCACATGTGGTAAGAGAGGCCTATCGACAATGGATCCGAATTTTCGGACCACCAAAAAGAATTGCCCTGGACATGGGGCGTGAATTCCGCCAAGCATTCACAACCAGTGCCGAGGAGGATGGATCCTTTGTAGATCCTGCAGCTGTTGAAGCACCGAACCAACGAGGAATCACTGAGAGACATGGAAAGACGTTCAAGTTCATGCTATTGAAAGCCATGGACAACTACAACTGTCAAAACACTCGAGAATGGGAACAGCTGATTGACGAGGTGGTGATGACCAAGAACCGCCTTTTACAGAACAATGGCTTTTCACCAATGCAGCGCGTTTTTGGGTTTGCTACCCGAATTCCGGGTGGACTTCTGTCTGGAGATGATGGGAATAGAGCGCTGCCTTCAAGAATCAGGATGGGAGATCTCTCAGTAGAAAGATCGATGAGGATGAGGAAAGCTGCATCACAGGCCTTTGTGGAGGCGGACTCAGCCGCTTCACTACGACGGGCGATAGAGACTGGCCCAAGACCGATGGAGGACTATCAGATTGGAGAGATGGTCTACTTCTTTCGCAAAGGAGCTGACAAAGCTCGAAAGTTCTCACCAGCATTTTGGTGCGGACCAGCCAAAATTGTCATGGTAGACCAACCAAGTACGATCTGGGTGGCATATCAGAGTACACTGGTCAAAGCATCGCCGGAGAGAATTCGGCGAGCAAGCGATGAGGAGAACCTGACAGTCTCAGGATGGCTTAAGGATTTGGTGGACACAAAAGCAGATCTCTGCACTGAGCACAAGCAGGGATATTTGGATTTGGCAGATCACCCTCTTCCTGAACTACAAGATAGAACGGAGTCTGAGAACGAATATGAACCATCAGAGCCGATGGAAGATAGCAACGATCTGACGATACCCAGAAGACCAATTCCACCACATTTGAAGCGACTACTGGAACATGAAGATCCACCACCTGAGAAACAATACTTCACCAAAGCACCACCACCTCTACCTGAACCAGACCTTGATGATCTACTTGGAGAACCAGAACGACATTCTGCTGAAGGAGAAGATGCAACTGAACCTCTTGACAGTCCTGGTCTTCTACCTGCACATCATGCGGTCGAAGGCGACCATGGAGGAGGACAAAAACGAGATGCAGATGATGATGGAGAGTGGCTGTCGGCTCCACCGACAAAAAGATCAAGACTGGAATATTTGGCCTGCTACTACCAGAAACTGGAACCGTTGATTGCGGCAAGACAGAGGAAGGAGGTGAGACTCAACGAGATGACGAAGATCAACCAGACCAAGTTTAGAAAGGCCATTGAGAAGGAGATCCGAAACAATCTCTCGATCGGGGCCTACACGATCTTGTCACAGGAAGAGTCCGCCAGGATTAGACAGGAACAACCTGAGAAGGTGATGGAGTCACGTTATGTACTGACGGCCAAGGAGATTGAGATTGACGAGGTCGAAGAGACGAAGGCTGCAGGACTTCTTCTCGATTGGGAAGGAGAAGAACCATGCAAAGCAAAGGCGAGACATGTCATGAAGGGCTTTTCAGAGACAGGCTCAGAGAACATAGAAACTGCCACACCACAGGTGACGAGAGAAGGAGCCTTGCTGGTTGCACAACTTATAGCCAGTCATCTTTGGAAGATTGGTTTCATGGACTTTACTCAAGCGTTCATGTCAGGTGACAACATTGACCGAGTGTTGTACACCTCTCAGCCTAGAGAAGGAGTACCAGGTATGCAACCGGGACAACTATTGAAGCTCGAGAAGGTCTGCTACGGTCTTGTAGATGGACCCTTTTGTTGGTTTCAACACTTGCGCAAGCTGTTGGTGGATACTCTGGGCTATGAACAGTCACTAGCGGACCCATGCATATACTACAAGCATATCAAGACACCAGAAGGACACCGACTGTCTGGGGTCATTGCAGTGGCGACTGATGACCTTCTACATGGTGGAGATGAACATCACATGAAATGCATGGAACAGATCAAGGACACCTACAAGCTGGGTAAGTTCCAATTTGGTCATGGAAAGTTCACAGGGAAATACTTCCGGCAGAAGGAGAACTTCAGCATCGAGGTCAACCAGGAGAACTACGTCAAGGACAAGCTGATCAACATCGAGCTGACCAAGCAACGGAAACGGCAACGTTACTCCATGTGCGATGAGAAGGAAATCTCAACCCTCCGAGCGAGTGTTGGAGCGTTAGCCTGGTTAGCAAAAGAGACGAGACCAGATCTAGCTGGAAGAGTGGCACTGCTTCAACAAGCATTTCCACGACCTCGAGTACTTGACCTCCTAGAAGCTAATGCACTGATTTTGGAGGCCAAGCAAACGGCAACGAGTGGCATCGTTTTGATGCCGATTCCAATAGAACGACTTCGAGTAGGAGTGGCAACCGATGCTTCCTGGGGAAATTCCAGAGATCGAGAGCAACTTGAAGATGGAAAGGATGACTTCTGGGAGGAGACTTCGTCTTTCTGGATTCGTCATCATGTAACGCCGAGAAGAACACTCTTTCATCCAGGAGCCAATCTAGGACCAGAACTTCAGACACTACTGCCATCTCGAAAAACGATGACAGACAGGGGGCAAACCTTAGAAGATCAGTGGACCACCTCGGAGAGTATCAGAACTTGGGGCGAAGATTCATGGACGGGAAAGACGTTCTTTGCAAAACAACCACCTGGACAGGAATTGGAGCACACCAAGATCAATGATGTTTTCCTCAAGCTCCTCAACACCAGCAGCCAAGGTGGGTACGTAGTGATTTTCTATGACAAACAGTTAGAGACGGAAACTACACCCCAAATGGTGTCAGTAACCTCTTGGAAGTCTACGAAGTTAAAACGAAAAACTGTTAATACCCTGTCCGCAGAGTGTCAATCCATGATCATGGGCATCGGCAACATTCACTGGCATCGTTTTCTTCTTTTGGAACTACTAGGTCATGACATGAAGGAACAAGAGTGGGAGAACAAGTTGTCAGAGATCCCCTTCGTGTCGGTCGTAGATTCAAAGTCGCTCTTCGATTGCCTGAATAAGTTGATCTGCACCTATGCCCAGATTGAGGACAAAAGAACAGCAATAGATGTTGCCATACTCAAAGATGACTTACGAAAAACTGGTGGTCATGTCCGCTGGGTTGAAGGTACCAACATGATTTCCGATTGTCTTACCAAACGAATGAAAGGTGACTTCTTGAGAAAAATTTGTAACTCTGGATTCTGGACATTACATGCAGAAGGACATCAAAGGATGTTCCAAGAACACGATGTGCTGATGGTCTCAGTACACAAGCCAATAAAGTAGTGCCGGTGTAAAGTTGTATAGACATGTTGGCTTGTGACTTCAGCTATGCATCCACTTGCGTGGCTTAAGGGACATAGGATGAAGAACCTCGCTCAAGGGCTGTGTGCTAGCGAAAACAGTGATCGTTCTTGTGACCCTTCGCCTTGCTTCGGGAACCCCCAGTTTTACAGAGTCATATGAGTATACAAATGTATATAAATGTATAAATATAAAATGGTCGTCCGATCAGCTTCTCTCTGGGACTCCCGGCATGATGGCACTGGTGAGGACTGGCAGGACATAATATGGGTCCGCTAAGGCCAGACTGTCGAGCCACAAGGGTGCCTCCATCGCAAAGCCACGAAACAGGTCCTGGAGAACAACGAAGGCGGCGTAGGTTCGGATGGGGTTCGGTCAGTCTTGGTCAGTCTTGGTCAGTCTTGGTCAGTCTCTTGTTTCTTCAGAAGGTCGAGCTATGCCAGCTATGCGCTTTCAATGTCTTTTCAATGTCTTTTCAATGTCTTTTCATGCGTTTTCAGCGCTGTCCGGGTGGTTGGCCAGGCCACGCATGGCCGCAAAAGCGGTGACGTAGAGGGGCAACTGGACGAAAATCAAATTCCAAGTGCCTTTCCTTAGTGTCACCCTGCTGGGTGAGCGCAATTTCCGTTTGCAACCACAGGTGGTCACTGCACAAAAGGGTCATGATTTATGATCAATGATTTTCGCTGTCCGTCATTCTGCATTTTGTGCATCCAAGTCTCATCATGAACAATTTCCCATGCTTCTGCGTGAAATTTTGAATTTTCTTTTGTATTCGGTTGTTTTTCTCTGGATCCCCATCCAGTTTCACAGCCTGAGCCAATCAAGGGCTGCTCAACCGACTGGAGTATAGTGGCTACAGGGGCAACACGAAGTTTCTAGGAATCGAAAGCCTGATTGACCCACATAACTTTTACATGGAAACTTGCTAGTGGCACTCAGTGCCGGAATAAATCAATGCCACCGGTCAGACATTAGCCGCATATTAGCCGCATTAGCCAGTCATAAACCCAGGGGCAACTGGCAAGTTATTCCAGTTTCACATGTTTCACTTGAAATCGGTGAAATCGGCACCTTCTGTTGCTGCATCAGCTTTTCGTACTCGGGCTGCAAGATGGCCTTCTCCCGCCCACCACGGATAGCTGCAATGCTCACTGGCAGAATCAGAGCACGGATTCCAATGCAGGAACACACCTGAAACAAACCAAACACACCTGAAACAAACCAAACACACCTGAAACAAACCAAACAAACCAAAGGTAAGAAAACTTGAAAACCTCAGTGGATCATCTTTCATCATCTTTCCGTTGGTTACTAAGTTGAATAGTGTTGAAATCCAAAAGGGAAAAAATTCAAAGAGGGAAAATTGAGCTTTGTGAGTTGAGAGTCGATAGCCGTGAACCAAGAGCACCCAGCGTATTCGTGGATGTCAACCAGAAGCGTCTGCAGCAAATCCACTGGAAGATATGGACTGTACTCACTGGACAAGTCGGTACCTCTTCCAAGAGCAGCTTCCATGCACCGATCCAACAGATTGTGAGACATAGAATTTTCCTCAAGATCCAATAAGGCGATGCAGAAACTGCTGAAGTTCTTCAATTTGTTCATGAATGTTCATGATATCACAATCTCATCTCTCATCTCTCATCTCTCTCTCCATCGCCCTCTCTAGATTCTCTAGATATCATGAATCTCATGATTCTTCATGCGGTTTGAGCATTTGACTTATAACTAACTAGGTGATATAAGCAGTAAATCGAAACGACCTGTGACATATGATGACATATGATGACATATGATGACATATGTATCATATGCCACTTCATGCAGCTGGGGTGAACACCAACACATCTGTCGCCCACGATTTGTTTACAAATCTGATCTTCCAGGAGATGCAGCATGCCAGCACGGCCAGCACGCTTCAAGGATCAACCCAATCAACCCTTTTTTTGTTGCACAGGACCGCTTCAAAAGAGAAATGCAAAAAGAAACTGCCAAAGTCTCCAAAATTCTCCAAATATTTTCGAATGCTTTTAGACTTTTAGAATCTTTTAGACTTGTGCCAAGCCTCAGGATATCCTGACGAAGCTACCTGTTCCCGCACAGGTCCAGTTGAGATGTGCCGGGAAACTTCCAAAGGTCGCAATGTCGAACACAGGATGCGCCGGGATGAAACTATCCGCCGCAGCATGGCGAATGACACAGGAACGCTTAGAAAATGATGTCGGCTCAGAGGCTTTTCTTAGAGGTTTTGAATCTGTTTGAATCTGTTTGCATGTTTGGAAGATCTTTCAGGCCAGCGAGATAGTTGAGATAGCTTCCCGAGTGTCTTGTGAGTCCTCTTGGATCTTGATATGTCTTGATATGTCTCGATCCTGTGCTTTTTTCGAGCAAAAACGTAGTACCTCTGCGTCCAAACGAGCGGCGCCAAGCCTGGGAGCTTAGACATCAACAACACCATAAACATGGCTAAACAATGCTAAGCAGAAGATGTCCAAATTAGGCACCTAATTTCTAAGCTAACACTTACCTGCCAACCTAGTTGACTATATAAGTTCATGGTAGGTCTGCGGTTTCTCATCGTTTGGATTTGGGCAATCCACAAGACTACTTCACGACTTCGCGAAAACACGAAGGCTTCGTAGGCATAAAGGCTTCGTAGGCATAAACCGTCCATGCCGGAGAAAAAAACTGACCCGTCTTGAACCATGCTTGTGCCCCTCACATTCAGTCCATTCAGTCAATTCTCTATCTCTTTCTGACGTTTGTGGAGCGTTTCTACATCACCACGATTCATCATGATTCACCACGCTGGGTCCTACGTGTGTTTCCACGTGGTGTCTCGATTCACCACGCTACGTGTGGTTTCACGTCCCCCACGCGTCTCAAAGTCCTGCAGTGTCGCCATCTTCTCCGCCATCTCCGATCTCAGTGCGGCCTCGGAGGCCCGGAGGACCGCCACTTCCGCGCGCAGCTCCGGCACCTGTGGGCGTCGACGCGGCTGGAGTTTAGGGAGTCATACAGACACGACGCGGTCCCGGACCTGGCCTTGTCCTCCAGGCGCTGCCCGGAGATGTCCGAGATGTCCGACTGACGGAACACACGGGCCGACGGGGCAGATGACAAACGGAAGAAAGTGGAGGAAAAACTCGTTGAATCATTGAAGGAAGGTCTCACCGGCGAAAAAAAAAACAACAAATGTTTGAGGTCCGTTATGGTCGAAGTGTCGGCCTTGGGCGGATTGAAACCGAAGTGAGGCGAAGGCTGAGATGGCCTGGTGCTGAGCTGAGACTATAGATACAGTGGTATTCTAGAATATTCTACTGTTTGAAGTATGTGACCGTATGTGACCGTATGTGACCGTATTCTAGAAGATGATAGGAGTATAATGAAGTACGTAATCGTATTGTAACCGTATTTCATGGTCTGCTTGGATTTGTGCAACTTGAGACGCTCAGGCCGCGACTGCGGATTGATACCACTGCTATCAGACATGCGACCAGCTGGAGCGGCTGGAGCGGCTGGAGCTGATGCAACGGATTTCACCACGTCCGAAGGCGCAACGGATCCCGCTGCTTCCTTTGCTGCGCTTTCACTTTGGGAAGACTCACCCGGACCTGCCAGACCTGCCGGACCTACAAGATCCACGGCATCCAACGTCACGCTCTGCGACATCCGTTGCACGTGTTGCACGTGTTGCACGTGTTGCACGTGTTGCACGTGTTGCATCCTGTCACTTGCTGCACTTGCTTCATCTCTCAATGAGTTTTGCTTCTCGCGCTTCTCGCTTTGCAAACGCTCGCGCTTGAGTTCCTTCAACTCCTCCTGAAGACCCAGCAGCTGCCTCAGCTCCGAAACACGGGCACAGTGTCACGCACAAAAGTAAGGTGAGGAGACATGAGGAGACTCTCAGTGAGAGCAAACAACAAGTGACTAACAAGGAGCAGCCTCATGTCGCCGGATGCCGCCGGTGATCTCAGGTTCCTGCTCCTGAAGCTGCTCGTGAGCACTGCGCCTAGCGTCTCCAGTGACTCCAATTGTTCACGTCGCGTGGCACAGGCATTCTGCACATTACGCATGATTACGCATGGTTACATCGGTCACGTGGTCATCAATGACTCATGCTAGGTTCACATCTCGCATATACATCATGCACTGTGCAGATGCAGGGTATCTCCATTGCCATCCTTACATGTTCCTGACATGTTCCTGCCAAGTGGCAAGCGCTCTGACATCTCAGCAGCAGGAACGCTGTCCAAACGATCCTTCCAAGGCCGAAGAACCACTTTCCGGCCAATGCTCCACTCCATTTGCCGTGCCTTTTGTGAACGCCATGTTTAGTATCTTTGAATTAGGATGTAGTGTAGAGAATCTGAACAACGCATCTGAAAGAATTACAATGCCGAACACATGTAACACATGCTGCTTGATTCACTGTTTGCGTAGGTTTGGAAGGATTTGGAAGGGTTTCGAGTCTGCTGTTGGGATCTACTTTGAAGGCAGCGTCCATGCCACCTCAGCCAATTGGCAAGCTGCACGGTGGGCCGCAGCTTCCGCGGCCTCAGTTGCGCAAATGCGTCTGCATGCTGCATGGATGAAACATCTGCATTCATCTCACATTCATCTCATCTTCATTGATCATGTGTAATCAAGTGTCATCATTTGTATTCATTTACTGTCATTTATCAATGTTATTCCATTTTCATCTCAAAACTTTCCATCGTGCCCGAGTTCTCCAACGAATTCCCTCTGAGCTTGGGCACTTCTAATGTGAATTGATGGCGTCGGAGCAATTCCTGATGCCGAAGCCTGCAAGGGAAGAAAAATCCGAAAGCCACATGGGTCACAAAGTGCTTCACGGGTCGGGGGCACCGAACAAGCGCAACCAGACCGAAGGGATAATTCTGGCCTTCTCGCGGAAACGTTGATAAATTTCAATTTGGAATTCCTATGGAAAATGAGGTTTCAACGTGTATCTCATGGTCATGTCAAGGAGGTTTTACACCAGCTGAGGTTGCCTGACTGTGACACTGCTGGCCTATCCATCTCCTTGACTTCTTCTTCAAGTTTCTCCTGGTATCTTGTTGTAGCGCTTGCACTGGAATCGTGCGTTGCAGTGGTTTGGTACAACTGGTGAGTCGTGACACTCTGAAGACACACCGTCTTTAGACCATCTTGGACCGAGTCATCTTTCACTCTTTGTTGATTCGAAGATTTCAACAAATCGACACAGCCTGCAGGATCACCACGTGCTGTGCTTGTGAGGAGCTCTTTCCCATCTGCAGGGAGAGCTGATTCCTGACGTTTGGGACTCCGTGCTCAACGTAGCCCCATGTAGTCCCACAAATATTTGTAGTCCCAGTGATGGCTGTGGAAAGTTTTGGTATATTGGGAACTGCGGAAGCCGTGCACTCTGCCGAGTCACTTCAGGTTTTCGGCTTCTCCGCGAGATACGTCCTGGAGACCACGCCGTTCGAAGGCACGCAACGGCAGGCTAAGCTCATACAAGATCCAGTTGGCTCATACTTTGGCTCGGTTCCACAATGGTTCTATGTTCTGCTTCTGCTCCAAAAGAACGCGAAGGTCGAGTATTTTAACCGTGTGCATCATGTGTCGGTTTCCAACAACTCCCAACACGTGTTCAAAACCGATCCCATCCGGCCCAGCCGGCCTTGCGAAGCTGCTCCAGGGACTCGTTGGCCTCGGAATCTCGGAACATCTCGGAACAACGGCAGCTGAGTTCGACGGTTGCAACTCGTTGTATCTCGTTGTTTCAGTCTTTGACAACATTTGACAAGTCATTTCTCAATTTGATCAATTCAGCAAGATGTTGGAACTTGAAACCACTCTCAGCACCCAGCCTTTGCTGCCGTCATCTCCTGGAAATCGAAACACTGCGATGGAATCTGTACAAACCTGGGATGACTTGTCTTGCCTCGGATTTCTCAATGTTGACAATGACAGTCCTCTGCTGCCAGAATGGACTGAAGTCTCCCGAAAGAGCTCGACTCACTGAGAAGTTTTTGCCGAAGAAGGGCCACCTGCGAAGATCTGCGAAACGTGCGAAGTTCCATCAAGTTCTGCAGCCACCTTTCTCCATCTAACTGTCTAACTTTCCCCTCGTCTGCCTTTTCTGTCTGCCTCTCTGCATCTCTCTGCCCTTGGGCCCTTCATGATCCCTCACATTAACCTCTTCACATCTCTTCATTCCACAGTGATGCCCCTAACACCCACCAAACTTGTACCCCTTGACTTTCCATCTGCAGGTAAACCCGTTGGGCTCTATGTGTTGCTCGTCGAACAATAGCTCCGGGCCTCCTGAAGTGACCCCGACTCTAGTAGCGAATTTGTCAGCTATGCAGTGGCTCAAAAAATGGTCTGTGACCGAACCCCCATCGCATTCGGCAAAGCCCCCACAGCCTCAGTAGATTCCTTCACATTGGACACCTGTCACATGTACGTCACACATATGTCACATATGTCACATATATATGATTCACATATGGACTATGGACACGACGGGAGATGGCGAGATATGGCGAGCACCTGAAAGGTCCTCGCTTCCGTGGCCCACTCTGCACCACCTTGGAGCATTGTTGCGGCCATTCAACTTGGCCGCCTTGCCCTCCCCAATTTGGCTCAGGCGCTTCAAGCCGAGATCCAGACCCTTAACGGCTTTCTTATGCAGATCCCGTTCTTTGTGAAGCCTAACTTACTTGAAAGTAGGATGAACGCATCACATTGTGCAGAAATGGCGCAGAAATACAGAACTATACTCAGGAGCCATGGTCTTCGTGGCCTGCAAATCTTGAGTCCTCTGTTAAGTCGCCGGCTCAACATTCAAAGAGTAGAGGTCACTTCCTTCTAGTTCCTTTTTCATCTCATCTAGGCCTGAGAACAGTGGACAGATTGGCCGAGGAGCCAATAACATCCAATAACACTAGAAACGAACAACGTCGACCGCAGAAAACTGATATCCGGAAAAAACAAGTATGCCAAATCGGCCAAAACATGCCAAAACCAGCTGAAAATTTGTGAATGATCATGGTTTGCGGATGGAAATGCTGCGTGGCACCCACCAAAGGGGAGGCTTAAGGAACTCAAAGAAGATGGGATGCGGGGAATCGATTGAATTCCAGCTTCAATCATAGGGTGAACGCTAGCCGCGACGCTAGCCCACGTTCCGTGGCAAATATATACTCAGTACGTTGACATTCGTGATTCGTTGAGCAAGGACCTGCACTGAAGTGTAAGACATCCCATCTGGAACGTCCTGTTCATGACCTCTTAAAATGGCATGTCTGCCCCGCAAAGCCCACGCTTTTGACGGAGATCTGCATACAGCCTATCCACAAGGCCTAGCACTGTGAAACCATGGCCATCCTGCTCACGAGAGCCGCTTTTGCTCACAGCAAGCAGGCCGCAGCCACCTCAAATACGTTACCCAAAAATACCCAAAATGATGATATTGAAGGGAAACAAATGAAGAGAACAGGTCGTGACAAGCTCCTGGGAAAGCGTCAAGGAATCTCATCCCTCTCAAAAGAAGAATCCTCAAACCTTTTTTTTGCCAGAGGGCGACCCCAACAAAATCCAAAGAAATTGCACTGAAGATTTTGCCAATGAGTTTTCCAAGCTTCCCTTCAGGCCTATTTTGGGAAAATCGACGTGTGATCCGAAGAAAGGCCACGTCTGAGCGCCGCCACTTCAAGCCTCCACTGTCTCCTCTTTCCTGAGTGCCATGTTGCCATGTGGATGGCAACGCATGGTAATGTAAAGTAATGCATAGCCATGCATGGTACAGTAAATGCTTCCAGTAGCTTTCATTTTGCCCGTGTCCGCTTCCACAATCTTTCACAATTCTATGCTAAAATGTGTCCTAGTTTCTCCGGCTCGGTGGCTCGTGTCTCCATATAGGCCGTGTAAATCACCTGGGAAGTTCCACAGCCCAACTGCAACTGCTGCAACTGCTCACCTTTTCCAGTGATTCCAAGTGATTCCAAGTGGTTCCAAGTTGCTGATGGCAGGATGATGCATGATCCCAGCAACGTTGACTTTGACGGCAGCTCCTTGAAGAGGAAAAATCCGGCCTGGATTCAGATCCCCGGGGTACCCAACCCGAACAGTCGAAGCCTATGATTACTATACATGTGTGTATATATTTCCTTTAAAAAAATATGTAAGCTGCTAATGCTCCTCAATCATTGATCATTATATCATATATATCATACTCAAGTAAATATATGTTCCCGTTTTTTTGTAGTTCCTAGTTCTTCTTTGTAAGTTCCTGATACATTCTACATATGTTCTAAATATTCATTCCATCATTGGTACGTTGAAGCTATCACCATGCTGCGCCAAGCAGCCAAGGCTGAGAGCACAAACTCGGTGTACCGATACCTGAAACGAACTCTAGAAGCGGCAGTGCATTCTGCCGCAAATACTGCCATGAAACCATACATGAAACTTCATGAAACCATATGAAACCCCTATTCCATCACAGATTTTGAGAGATTTCACGAAATTTGTTACACATTGAATGTTGCCTGGCTGCTTCAGGTGTTACTGCAGTGTGCTGAGGCTCAGGTCATGGCGGGCAAGTCGCAGAGGCATCAACGTACTTGAAAGCCTCTGAGTGACTCCAAAAGATCCGCGGAATCCGCGGAATCGACGTGATGACAACTGATGACAACTGATGACAAGTGATGACATTTTTTTGACACAACTGATGACAACTGTAGCAATCCACCGAAGCGCAGTGGAATCCCATGGGATCCCACGGGATGGCGTCATGGCACGTCACAACTCCCAGATTCTCCCTGGCCTTCAGCAAGCAATACCTGGAAGGCGTCGAAAATAAAGAAAAAAGTGCAAAAGGATTGCAAAATGATGCCCCCCCCAAAAAAAAAGTCACAAAATGTCACCAAAACTGCAAAGGTTCAGGATTCTTGTCAGAAGGCACAACACGGAAACAATAAAGCAATACATGCAGGGCGCAAGAGGAAGTTGGCCCCAACGCCCAAGCAGCCAATCAGGGCAAATTGGCTCGTTGTCACCGGCACCCAGTGAGGAATGGCCCTCACTGCCTGTGCCAAATTTCCCACATCAAAATCAGCAAAGGAAGCATTCTCAAAATCAGCACAGTTCAAACATCCATGAACTGTCTGGCTGTCTCAGCTCCATGCTGCTATGGCTGCGGTCGAAATGGCTCCATAGAACAGCATGGACGTCACGGTTTCACTCGCCGTGTACTTCTTGTTGAAAATGTCCAACATGGCCTCAGCACAAATTCACCAGCGGGCACCAGTTCATCATGTTCATCTACCATGCTAAACATTGCAAAAACTCAAGACACAACAGTTCCAAGCTGAGCCTCAAAATGTTCAAAATGCTCCACCATATTTCAAGAAGATTCGAAATCCAAGTGGGGCATCAGGTGTCCAATGTCTTTCCAAAAGGGTGGTGTACTTCCGTGGTTTCCTTGACAAGTGACGAAGCAACAGGCCGACAACAGGAGAACCAATGACTGGGGCTGGAAGGTGGCAGCTGTTGGATTGAAAACGATCCTCAGTCACCAAGCTGGCGCGGGAATCGCAAGCTGCATGATGCTGAACCCGACATCATCATAGTTGAAATGCTAAACCATGCAGCCCAAGCCTGTTAGCTGTTAGTGTGACGCCAGCACAACAAGAGGAACAAGATGGAACAAGATGGAACAAGATAAGAATGACTTGAAACGAATCGTGCCGCTGGTTTTGCAAAAGCAGAGCACTGCACCGAGAACTTACCCACAGACCAAGCTGCAAGCAACCGATAAAACCTGCCAAGCTCGCCAGCCAACGCCTTGCGTCGAATTTCAAAGGGGTGACATTCGAAGAAAGTTGAAATTCGAACGGAGTGAAACGGGGTGAACTTGGAATCAGGACGCATCAATGAGCACAATGAAAACATTGAACCCGGAGATCTTTCTGGAAGCATCCAAAAACACTGTAGAACACTTTCCCTCCCTGCAAATCTGCAAACATCTGCAAACAAGTGGCTGCTTGCCCACTTTCTCCCCAAGAATGAGCTGCGCAAAGAGCATCTTGAAGAAAGGCATCGTGTTGTTGATGACCACCTCAAGTTCCGCTCACAAAGTCCCACACTGTGTCGTCAAAGTTCAACGTCATTTCATGACAGAACGATGCAAAATGACGACGCTTGACGACACCATATATCTTCGTATATCTTTGTATATCTTCGTATGCGTTCGTTCTCCCTTTGTCATACTTTGCCTCGTTCCTCCCTGCCGCAGCTGAGGCCTTTTTCTGCGTGAGACAAACGATGGTCTGCTCTGAGACGAAAATCTTACCAGGTGGGGTCTGGAATCTGGATAACACCAGCAAAGCTCAGCGCAATCAAGAGCACAACCTCGGATTGCAACTTCGAAACACTAGAGACATCCGGAGACAAAAGTTTGGTGAATCTCGTGTTTGGTTTGTCTCTCAGAGCTTCATAGTTGTCGCGCCGTGCACCATGGCGGGGTTTTGACTTTCTGTGCCATTGCGGCTGAGAGACGGCAATGACTGCCACAACAGCATAATCCACGGTTTGGCCAAGCGCTTCAGTTTGCGTTGACACCTGCAATAGGAATGGAGAATTCTTGGAGAATTCTGGCACTGTCAGACTGTCAGACTGTCAGACTGTCAAAGTCTTGGAGCAACAGGTTGAGTGCAAGGACCAGACTCTAATTTCAGTGCATGAGTGAACGCGTGAATCCGCGCCCACCTTCCGCTCGAGAATTGAAACAAATTTGGCAATGAAAGGAGCCTTAGCCCAAAAACTGCTCCACTAAAAACTTCCCTACAGTGGAAAAAAGTGGATGGCACTCACCCCACACAGAATGCAGACTGCACAAGCGAAGCCGCAAGACAAGCAGCCATCTTCCCTCCGATTGCTTTCACCTCTGCATCTTCCTGCGATAAATTTGGAGAAATGGTTGTGGAATCATGTGGAATCCACATCCCGAAGGCTTTAAACAGGCTATTTGCCTCAAACGTTCGGTCCTTGCTGAGTCCTCCATACTGAGCCACCAGTGGTGAAGAGCCTGCGAAATTTTGTCTTGGTGCTCCAGAGATCTTTTCGCAAGACATTGATACTCTGATCTTTTGGGTGATAGATGATGGCTTTTGGGTGGCAGATGAAAACGGATATGGAACGGGTCTGTGATTCCAGGCCCAAACGATTCATGATCTCATCTCGTCGCTCTTCGTCGCTCAGCTTCATGAGCAGCTGCTGGTCCTGCGACACCACCCCCAAGGAGAAGCCGAGAAGCCGAGAAGCAGACTGATGTGACTGAAATGACTGAAGTGAAATGAAGTGAAATGAAGTGGCTAAAGTCAAGTTGGCTAAAATTGAATAAATTGGCTAAAGTTCACCAAGTCAAGCCTTGCTTTCCAGCTTATCCGAGTAGCCCTTCGACATATCTGGGAGGACATCCTTCATGATGTCCTCACCACCAGCACTGAGAACTTTGCACAATACCGACAATACCCCACTGTCACAACGGCCGGACCTCCACAAGTTTGGATCTTTCCAATCTGGTCCAGAAGTTGGTGAAGCACTCAAAGGCATACATGCCTCAAGAGGGAAAAAGATGAAAAGAAAGAAAGTGAACATCTGAACAATCCTGAATATAGGTGAGAAATGGTGAGGACATCGCTGAACCTAATTTGAAACTCGTTGCCAAACAACGATCCAACTTGAGCCGTGATGACAGTGATGATCGTGATGATCTGAACTTGGTGCCCAGCGGTTGCCTTCCATTTGGGCTGGCCATATCCTGGGCCAGTCCTTCTTGACGGTAGCTACCACACCCTTCCCACCGGCATCCTGCTCCTGCGACGGACGTGAAACAAAACGGCCACGGGAATCACGGGAATCAGAAGAAATTGAACGAAACATACGAAACATTGCGGAAACCGGTCCTGCATGGCCAGCTGAAATATGTTGATATCCATCCTCACGGGAAAATCATCCGGGCTGGGCTCTCCCGCCCGAGGAGCTTTGTAGCGATTTCAACTAGATTCACGAATATTCACGAATCCATGGTGCCAAGCATGGTGCCAAACATGGTGCCAAATTTAATATACAGCATTGTGAGGCAACGCCCAAAACAAGAGATCGCAGGGCAGGATTGGGGGTCAAGGTGGCCATCGAAACCCAAAGCATCCCAAAGCAATCGAGCAAATCGAGCATCCAATATTTCTCGGCTTTGTCTAAGAACTCATCCAGAAGGCCTTGCTCGTTCAAGCCTAAGAGAATGCAACATGAATCTCAAACAAAAACTCGTCAGGCCAACCATGTGTATGCATGATTATGCATGTGGAAGAGACAAAGGTAACATAGTCGAGACAACACGGCAGGAGATATTTTATTTTATATATACCTTCAAGCATTGTCCAAGGTTGGATAACACATTGCCATGTGTTGCCATGTGTTGCTGTTGCTAAGATTGTGCTCAGCACTGTGCCATTCAGAACTGACAGCAATTCTCTGTACTCATTGGACTGCAGAAAGCTGCGCAGCCGAGGGTTCACCTTGCGCCACAAGTGGACCACGAGCACCCACTGGAGCCACTGGAGCCACTGAAGTCACGTCTTGCCGTGTCTTGCCGTGTCTTTCTCTGATATTTCTCCATGTCACGTCACGCCTGACCACGATACTTGCCGGTTTTCTTCGGTGTGCCCGTGCTGGAGGCTTTTTTTTGGCGAGTTGCCTCAGCTCGGCAAGAGGATGCACACGACTTCTATGGATTCGAATTCAACCCAAGCTGCACCTGTCACTTAGCAGCTTCCAGCAGTTTCTAGGATCTCCTCGCATCTTCTAGCCACAGTGAATGCCACCTACATCTTTGCCACGGCACAGAGGCGGCAACGTCTCTCTGTCTCACGGCTCTGGGAATTTGCACCTTAGCGGACAAGAAGAGGAATTGACTGGAATTGCGCACCATGCCATGGAGCGAACTGCACAAGATTTCAAGAGATGTCTGAAGAGTTTCAACGAAAATGCAAACACTTTGAAGCTAATATGCCACAATGCCACAATTCTGCAGCTGAAACGACGACACTCAAAAGTCCCAACTGTTTTTCCCCCGAAACAAACGAGACCAAACACAACCGCAAAATACCAATCACCACAACCGTCACCTTTTTCGGGTCACTTTCTTTGGGGCCCTTTTTGTGTCAGGGGTCGTGTCACACCTCAGCCCTCGTCCTCGTCACCCGGCCCGAGCCACAAAGGACACGAAAAACGACAGCTGCGCTGCGGCCAGGACCAGAGCCAGAGCCAGGAGACGCCGCGGCGCCGACGCCGACGCCATCGCGAGCAACACGGCTGCGGTGACGACGGTGACGCACATATTTTTTATCGTGGGCCAGCCATGGTACCCAGCATGGTGCCCATGCCCGTGGCCCAGCTGCTTTAGCATGGCTTTAGCATATGGGCAAACAAAGTCACTATACTACGATAAGTAGTACAAAGTCATGCCAGAAATGGATCTCAGAATATCTCAGACAAGTCGAAGCTCGTGAAAATTTCACTGCTTGGCATGTGCTGAGCTCACCGCACAGGAGGCGAAGGGCATGAGATTCAGTCCGAAGCACCACCTCGAACTCCGAAGTCGCGAGAAATGTCTTTTGCTCTGCGGAAAGAAACGTCAGATGATTAATTTGATTTAATTTGCACAACTCTCATTCTTTCAAAATATTTCTCTTGCTGGCAGCGTCAGGAAAAACCGAACTGGGAAGCTCCAGCAGCGTCCCATATCATCCTGTATCATCCCGTATCCATACGCATCCTTCGCACATCACGTTGCCACGTTGCCACGTTGCCACGTTGCCACGTTGCCACGTTGCATCGTATGCTGCATCGTGTGCAGGACGTCGGTGTTCTGAGCTCGTGGCAGTCCAATGCCGAGAGCAAGAAGGAGACCACGAGCAGCATGCATAGAGAGCCTGCAGGGAAAGGGCACATGATGTCGTTTCTTTCTTTTTCCCTATTTCCTCTCTCAAATGAGGACATACAGCTTGTGAATGCATTTGAACTGTTTGGAAGTCTACGCAGGGCCTTGCAGATTTGAAAGCACCTAAGTTTGGGATATCCAGGAAAGCATTGTGTGAGATCTTAGTGACGACACATGACGACACCTTGGCACTGGCATCTTTTGGCACCTTTTGGCATCTTGTTCGGCTTGGCTTAGCGGCTTAGCATCCCTGGGCTCCGGGCTTCGGCCCTGGAACAGGAGAACCGGAAGGAGCACCAAAGCAGCAGCAGAGAATCGCAAGAAAACGATCTGGAAGGGCGGCAGGTTCTCCTTGGTCATCGAGTCATCGTCAATAGAATGGCCCAATGTGTTGCACGTCTGTGACACAAATTCTCATATCTTCGCATTCAGGCCGTTCTTTACTCTCTTTCGTTTTTGGTTCGTCTTTGTTCTGTCCAAGTGTCTCCCAAAAACTTCATGATGCTGTCGTTTCCAATGCTGACGACCTCAGCTCAAATCGGCTTCTGGCTGTTGAAGTTCAGCTGTTGGTCATGGTTAATCAGATAATCATAGTTCAACAATGTTCCGCATTCAACATTCACCAAACCACGAGGCCCAAACAAAGTGCATGAGATACCAACCAATCCCGGTGAAGTACACCTTCCGCTGCAGGTGGCAATGCTGAAATTGAAATGAAATTGCAAAGCTCAGTGAAACTCAGCACATCATTGAATATGAGTATAGTATGCATATATGTGTGTGTGGATAAATAAATAGATATATAGATATAGATATAGATATAGATATATATATATATACATATATATATATATATGTACATTCATGTGTGAACTTCTGACACTTATGGACCCAAAATGATCTAAGTTATGATCTAAGACGGTCATACATACATATATGTATATATAGAATTATATATCATATATGGTCAAGTTCTCGCGCCTGCGATGCTGACATTGATGCAGCAGAAGCCCCTGCTGCTAAGGCTGGTCTATCCCGGCCATCGCTGACACGATGCTTCGGCAAGCCTGCGGGCAACCAAGGAGCAACGGAATCTCCGCATTGGGGGGGGGGGAAAAATAGCAAAAATATCTTATTCTCGTCTGATGTAACTTGCCCTCTGGTCAACCTCAACGTCCAAATTTGAAGGATGCGCAGTCCATGGCGAATTGGGCAGATCCAATACTTCCCAAGTGAAAGCATGCGACGTAGATGCAGCGTTGGGGAGATTGACAGGTCCAACAGGGGCTGTTGTGCAAAAGAAAAGCACACGAGCACACAGGCATCGGCACCTGAACCTGCGAACAGCCTGCTGCTATCTCTTGCCGGGGCAGAGAAACATACCTCGAACACACAACGGCGCCAGACTCCCTGATGGGTGGAGCGTCAAATAATTTTCACAAAAACTCAAATGATGTCTGCGTAGAATTTGCGACACTTTATTTCTTTGTGGTACTTTGGTGTTACAGCCACTTTATTTTTTTGGCAGAGTCGAGCTGTGAACCGTTCCAGCTGTGAAACAAATGAACAGTAGTTCAGCTATGTTCAGCTGCCTTGGGTCATCTGAGGTGCTGACACCGCCAGCAAAGAGAAGCGCAACAGTTGTTACAGTCAGTAGCACGAGCGTCCCAACCTGGGGGACTGAGCAAACTACAATCGACTACAAGTCAGACCCCCACTCTGCCACAGTGTGCCCCATAATGTCCGGTACAACCATGTGCACTATAATAATTGTGTGCATGCGTGTTTATATATGACTACTATGTATGTCTGAGTGCATCCTTTTGAAGTAGAGTATGCGTAGAATCCTTCATGCATTTAAATATTGCATGTCTATCTATCTATCTATCTATCTATCTATCTATCTATATCTATATCTATCTATATCTATATCTCTATCTCTATCTCTATCTCTATCTATATCTATATCTATATCTATATCTATATCTATATCTATCTAGATAGGTTACCTTACATCAAGTATAAATATGTGCAGCATGAATAATTGAATGATACTTTTTCGTCTCTGAGTGTCTTTATAGAGATTGCTTGAACGGACCTTGCCCATGTTCCGCTAGGTTGGTCATTGCACTGAGCACCATGCACGGCAGCGCGCCATGTTGCACCTTGGATGCCCCTTTGGGTGCCCCCCTGGGTGGTTCTCCGGGTGCCCCTCCGGGTGCCCCTTGGGGTACTGCGAAATCTGAAAAGGGTCGAGGCACCGGAGCCAAAACTGACGGTCGAACTCTGACGGTCAATGGCCGAGCCCAAACGCTGTGAACGCGCTATGGAACAATGAGAATCACTCGCACTCGAATCGCATATCGCATCCATGTGGTCTTATGGAATCACTGTGTCTCCGAAAAAAGTTGCAGTTTCTGGCAGTTTAGGGTGATTTGTGCTGGAGTCCACTGGAGTCCGCTGGAGTTCCAGGCGTCTCAAGGCTTCTACCTCCTCTTTCAACGCCTTGCAAGCTCTGCACTGAAAATTGTTTCACACGTTGCATCCAGTGTCTCGGCAACTCTAACACGGAAATCGAAATTATACGAGCTGCAATAGGGCCAATAGGGTGCATGCGCAAAGGACGTGATGCTTGTAAGTGTATGTATATGTGTGGTGATGTGCCGATCATGAGTCCGCAGGTCATGCCTGCTCTGCCTCCAAACATCTCGCCGATCTAAGCCGTGCACCTGCGCTGCAGATTGCTCGGCCGCATCAAACTTCTCCGCCTTCTGGACCACTCGCGCGGAACCTCGAAGCGCTCGCGGAAACGCTTGGGGCCAGGCTTGTGTCGGCTGTCGGGGCCAGTGTCGGGCCGCACCTTTGTCGTCCTGGAGCTCAGCCATGCCTTCTTCCAAGTTCTGCAGCCGAGTCGACAACTTCTGCGCCATCTCCTGAGGAAAAAAGATAAAATCTCAGAAAGTGTCAGAAAGTCTAGATGCTCAGAAGCTGAATTTGTAAAATTTCCACTGGATGCCGATGGTATCACTTGGAAGCTTTGTTTTGGAAGGAATTTTTGATGCATCTGGAAGTGAACAGCTCAGAGGTCAAGCGCCTCTTCGTCTGAGACACCCTTCCGAATAGCATTCGCCTGGTAGAGCTGCAGTTTGGCAGCTATGGATCTCTATGGGTTACGTAACACTAGAAGCAACATTATGACGGTTGTGGGTTGCATTCCCAACGTGGTTTAAAATGAAAAGGAAGGCCCGCACCTTTCATCACCTGGCGTTCCCCATTCTGCAAGCGTTGCATCAGTGTTACTTTGCCCAACTGGTGTTGCGCCAGTCCGCTAGTCTTGAATCGTCTTAAATCCCAAGAGGGTCTTGGATACTTAGCTGATCCATGAAGATTCCACAGAGATTGGAGGTTTTCTCGGTTCCAGTCCTTTCCTTTCCAGTGCGTCATATTGCGCCTCTTCAACTAGCGGGTCGTGGAGCTGAAAAGTCATGCGTTTGACCTCGTCTTGACGTCGCTTCAGCCCTCGAACGGCTGCATTCTCAGCGCGCTGTAGGGAATCCTGGAGCCCCCGCAGAATGCGAAAAACGTGGCAGTACAAGTGGCACAGCCCTCCCAATTCCCCACCAGAAAATAAAATGCAAAAAATGGCAGGTAAAGGGAATAAAGGTGCAACTCTGCAACTCAGCGCAACGCGCAGAACAGCTGCAGCTCTGCAAGATTGTGAGAAAAATTGATGCTTTAGCTCAAACGCCATGTGATCCATGCGATCCATGTGATCCCCCCGATCCACGCGTCTCCTTCACGTCACTTTCGTGTCGCAGATGTTTTTCCACGGTTTGCTCCGTCCCTGCCTCAGTCGCTCGCTGGATGGATCGCATGGCCGCCTTCTCAATCCGCAGCTCGGTTTGGACGCTTTGCATTTCGCTGTCCTCACAACTGTGCGCGATGTCCCATTATGTCCCCATGTCTATGTCATCACTATGTAATTACTACGTTGTCCATATGTTGCCGATATGTCGCCATATCCTCTCTGTATCACCTCTCCATATCTGCTGGCAATGAAACCTCATATAACTTCATCAAGTATACCAAGAGTGCAAAGTCAGAGTTGATGCTCCATTACGTTCCAACGTATTTTAACACGTTCCAATGCGTTCGTCCCATCGCAAACGCATCTTGGAGACATCAATACTATAATGATATGCACATGTATGCGTATTGTACAGAGATACGATATCATATCATTACTCACAGACGCCGCGTGTTGCCCGGACATTAACATTGAGGATGTCATGTTGTTGAATAAGACAGGAGAGATTGCAGAAAATACTGCATATACACAGAGTTTTCTGGTTTAGGACTCAAAGTCTTCAGATTTTTCAGGGTTTTTGTTTTAGGGTTTAGGCTATTTTAGGGTTTAGGATTTACAGTAGGGTTTAGGGCCTAGGGCTCGTCGTCTGGGAAATCTCAAAACACTGGCCCTGTGCAGGTGTTTGAGCATGTTGAAGGATAATGCTTAAACGCCATGTGAACTTTCCGGGCAACAAGCAGCGCCTGGCCGTATCATTACGATATTCATATATGACATCAATATATAGTGTATATATATGTGAAAGGTCGTGGACCTCACACACTGGCAGCTTCACCCCAGGTCCGCACTTTGAAGATGGATCAACCCTGTTGATCTGAAAAAGAATGAATATCCAAATAAAAAGTCTGATTCCCAACCAGAGATAAATGAGCTGGATCCCGGTCCAAAGATGTAATCAAAGTAAAATCCCAAGGGAACCCTGTCCCTTCCGCAGCCAAATCAAAGGTTTTCACCAACGCGCCATGTGCTGCCCTGCAGCGCCTCTACCACGCTCTCCCATGACTTGAGAGGAAGCCACAAACCATGCAAAGGTCACTCACATCAAGGGACAAGCATCATACCTGCTGGAAAATTCACACTTCCGGAATTTTCTTTTGATGTGAGACACTTGAATCTTGTCCCTTTAACCACGTGGCAGCCTGTTTGCGGTGTGCATTTGTCTGGAGGCTGGCTTGTTCATCGAAAAGTTGGAAACTGCCAGACTCTAAAGCAATACGGAGTATTACTGGGTCCATCGGCTTGGTCAATGGATCAGCCAACTGCAGTGAGGTTGGAATCCATCTGAAGAAACAGTTTTCATGGCACAATTCACGGATGAGTAAAACTTCCAACGTTGTCCGGTATTCCTCACACGATGGCATCGCTGTTCGGGTTACCAGATCATATAAACTTTTACAATCCGTTACTATGATGGCTTTGTGAAGAGTCGCCAGAGCTTTAGGGGGCTGTCTCCAATCAAAGTTGTCCACTATCAAGGTTCTCCACAATAAACGCATCCAGCTGAGTTTGTCAACTCCACGCGACATAGAAAATGCTTCGGCAGATAGTGTGGATCTCACCACTCTTGCAATTTTCTTGGATGACCATGTAAGAGGACTGATGGGTGCCTTTAAGTTCTGTTGAAGTTCAGGGGTAGTTGCAAATACAATTGTACCTTGAAATGAGGAAAGTTGTTTGGGACTTGCAAAAGAGGCATCACCAAATACCACATGAGTAACTTGACCAGTAGGTATGGATCTGAAAAATATCTTTGTATCGCTTGTCTCTTGGGCTTCCCGCAAAAGTTTGTTGGCCATCAACAAGGTATTGACCGTTGGCCTTGCAATTTGAGTCTGGATTTCTCCCAATCGAGCAGCCAAATCAGGTCGAGTATGAGTGACAGCATATTGGAGGCTCCCTATGATGGCTCTCAATGAAGATTTCTCACCTTCACTGGCTTCTTGTTCAGGAACATTACGTCTGTGTTTACCTATTTCCAACGCTTGAATGGCATAGATGTAATCTTGTTGTGAAGCGATTGTATGCCTGTGAATGTGAATTTCCTCTGTTTGAACGCACCAAAAGGCAGTACTTCGCGAAGTTTCTGAAGTTGTTTGTGGAACACTTCATCTCCTCCGCATATACCATCATCTACATGGGTTCCCAGCACACCGTGTATTGTACGAACGTCGTTTTTCCAAGACTCGAGATAGTGAATACATGGTTCCAGAGGGTGAACGCAAAAGCCTAGCTTTTTCAATTGCAGTGCCAGTTCTCGGTAAAATAGCAGTGGTGCATCCACTCGGCCATATGCATTTCCAATCAGAGATCTTAACTGGAGTTTCTGACGGAGCTCCTTTGGTGGCTCCATGGCCAGAGGGTTGGCTTCATCGGCACGGCCCCGAAGAAAGGCGGTTCGGATATCAAAAGAGGACAAAATCCACTGTTGTGACGCAATCAACTGGAGAATTGTGTGACGACCTTCTTTAGTTAAAGTCGGTGCATCTCTTGCAACTTCAGTCAATTGAGGATCCATATAACCCAAAACAACCAATCTTGCCTTTGCCTTGCGACCCTGTATTGTACCATGTTGATCCTCCACTGGTTTCCAAGTTAGAACCCACCGAGACCTTAATATTTGATCGGGATTCAGAGATTTTCTCAAAACAGGTTTCAACGCACATGTCTGCAACCAACAATTGAGTTCTGAGTCCTTGGCTATGTCAAACAGTCGGCGGTCCTCGGCAGTAAGGTCCTTTAGCTGGACTTCGGCTCGAGCTCTTTTGCTCGCACTGGCAACGCATGCAAGTTCCTGAGGACGAGGATCATAGGACCATTTCAACAAGTCCTGCTTCGATAATGGTACTTCCAACATGAAACACTGGTTCTCAAGAGGTTCCAGTGGTTGATACAAAATTGGCATCTCGTCTTCAGCGAGACATACTTCGGACGTCTCCATGCCAGGTTGAAAGGTTAGCCATTCATGCAGTGGCTGATCCAATGAACTTCCTGGGACATCTTGACACCAAAACACATGATCATGGTGAAGTGCATCATCTTCTTCATTTTCGGCTGTAGGAGCGTCAGGAGGCTCCAGGATCTCTACTGCAGGATCTTCAGACCCATCAGGCACGGTTTGTTCAGCATCTGAAGTCGCTTGTTGAGAGGGATTATTTAAGGCTTCGGGAAAAGTTTCACTTTCAGGTTGAATGCTAGTGGTGTGGCTATGAGGTGCTTGATCAAATGGTACTGGTGTTCCAGGGGAGTATTCGACACTTTCAGGATACTCAACAGCTTCTGGTGTTGTTGATGAACGTTCCTGGATTTCCTGGCGAGTCGGTGCAATTAGCTGTTCTAGCGGTTGGGTGTTTCCATGCCACTCTCGAAGCGATGCTGGTCGAAGACTTTCTGGCGAACATCTCAGCAACTTATGGGCATGTGCAACCCACACAACAGATGAACTCTCTTGACTCACAACTTTGGCCGGCCCATACCAGCGTCCACCTTCACGACGATTGGGTTTTCCTTGTCTTTTCCAGTACATGACTAGTTGACCTGCTTGAAATGGACCCCTGGGTGGGCAAGATCTTCTCAAAAGAGCACGTCTGATAGCTTGATCATTATCAGTGGCCAAGAAAGTTTTTCTGGCTAAGGATCGAATCTCAAGTTGACGTCTGAAACGTTCACAAGCTAAATCATCTCCTACAGCCATGCTATGGGCTCCCATGGATTCATCTGCCGTGAGTGATGCTGGAACGCGAGTGGCTTTTCCCAGTACAATTTGCTCAGGGGAAAATCCCTGATGGCGGCTCAAGGAGTTTTTGGCCTGGAAACACGCTCGGAGAACCATGTCAAATTCATGAGGAGATGATATTGTCTTTTCGGCATCATATCGATTCAACATCTCCTTCAGCAATGTTCCATGCCTCTCCACACGACCTTTCTGCCATGCTTCTGTGGAAAGCTTGGGAACTATGTTCGAGCTTTGCAGAAAGCTCAGCCAATCATCTGAACAGAATTCGCCTGCTGGATCTGAATAGATCCCAGTTGGATTCCCAGCCCATGACAGCCACATATCAGAGAAAGCAGGAATCACATGTTCCAAATTTCGATTTTCCAAACGTCTTCCCAAATGAAACATTGAAGCTTCATCTATACAGTGGAAAACCATCACTTGAAAACCCGCTCTTCCGGACCAGAAAAATCCATCAACACCTACAAAGTCATTGAACTCTGTGGGATCATGTAACTGGGCCGGTCTTTGATGGCGGAATGCACTGGACTCCACACAAGCATCGCATACGAACTCTCGAGCAGCCTCAATCACAGATCGTCGAGCACCTTGAGTTTGTAGATGGGCTGCCAACTTTTCGGGATCGGGATGTCCCAAATTCTTGTGAAGCTTGATTAAGTCATTCTTCTCCGTTTCACTCAGCAGTCTAAACTTCGGACCATGTAAGGCTATTGGTGGTGGAGCCCAACCCTCACAAACTTGATTTGAGGTGCGTTCAGTGACCGCTCTTGGCAAATGTTCCGGCTTTCGAACACGAATTGCTGAAGCTGGATCAGCTTCATCGGACTGAGGCATGATTGACACCTGACCGGGTTCGTCAGGAGCTGATACAGGAACTTTGGGAGTTTCCATCGATGCAGTTTCAGGAATCCTCTTTGACCCAAAAAGTGTTACTGTTAAACGACTTGGAATGCAGCTACGAATGCGTTTGGCTCGTGTCAAGTTGTGCCAGTCTTCTGAACCAAGATCATGTATTTGATTTTCATGTCGATGCCAGCATATGGTATGTCGAATGGGACACGTGTGTGATGCCGGCGCAAGGACTGGGACTTGGTATCTTTCAGTACCTCGACAAACAAACATGCTTTCCAAATGCAAATTAGGAACCAGTTCTTGGGCCTTTTGGAATGCTTCTGAATCTGCGGAACATCGGGTGTTACCTACACGTGGTGCAAGGGATTGGGCCAATTGCATAACTGCGGACCACGGATGCTGATCTTCTGAAACATTTTGGACTTTCTTCTCAGGAGACCCCTCATGGGATGATGGTGCAAGCTTTGGTTCAACATTGGGTTCCTCAATCGTATCTGATGTCGGATCTAAGTCAACTGGATTGTTGAACTTCCTACGTTTAGCAAGGTTGAACGAAAAACGAGCCCTCTTGGTGGGTGGTTCCTCAGAGTCAAGGTCATTCACATGAGCATCCTGTGGTGAACATGCAGTGTGGGTCAATTGGCATAGGTATTTGGCCACAGTCTTTGCAAAACCTCGGCTGTAGGTTGCACAAAAGTGAGTCATCTTCGTGCTCACTCCCTGAAGATGGAAACTTCCTTCGATCCGCTGATGAAGGTGGTTCATGGGACAGTTCTGGCCATCGAGCTTTTCATGCAGCTGAAGAGACGTGGTAAGGATGACACTACTTTTCTTCAAAATCGATTGGTCTTTGGAATCTTCAGGCCAAACCTACACATGTCAATTCGTGCGACCAGAACATGTTGAAACATCTGATGCAAAACCTCATGCTTCAACAAACCAGACCCTCGAGGCTGTTCCAAATGGAAATGTCGGTTCCGATCTACTTGATATTTGCATAAGCGGGCACAAAGTTGGACATGAGGAAGTTGATCATGCTGTTTTTGTTGAATCATGTCAAACAAAGCAACACTCTTCTGTTGATTCAATCTATTCCAACCACTCCAAGGTCCACATTCTGGGGCCACCCAAATGTGCTCTGGCTGACATTCTTCAATCAAATGCCACAACTTTGCTCGGCCAGAAATTGTTGCTAGATCACCATCTTCTCGGGTAAATCTGCGGCTCGGAAGTCCCAAACTGTTCAACTGCATCTGCAAGAGGACTAGATGTTCCAGCATAAACTTCCAACAGGAAAACACGGTTTCTAGTTGAATCAACGTTCCACTGGCGTTCCATGATGTGTTGATCAAAGGTCGACTCAGCTTTGCAAACACTTTCAATCAATTCATCTGAAAACTGAACTTTGGGAGGTTCCTTAGTGAGTTCATGACGTGTCAACAACACCTGAGCATGGAAATCTGGGTCCTCTAGGTTCCTGGACTGGCTGCTTCGCACTGGGCTGACAGTCTGCTCAGACGCATCTGGCCATAGCGCACGAAGTCCTGCATCTCGGGAGTCAACGACGTGAATCGACTTTGGCACCAGTCGAAGTACTGAGGATCCACTCGGATCGTGGCTTCGAAGCTCTTCCCTTTGTGTTTCTTGCCCCAGGTCACCAGATGTGTACCCCACTCCTCGAAAGGCACGGCTTGAGGCGAAGGCATCATGACTGGCACCTGTCGGTGAACCTGGTGAACAATTTCCAGTTCTTCCTCCTCCACGATCACCTCGTTGTCGGACTCGTCGAGGCACCACATCATCGGAGCAGAAGCGCTCGATGGTGTCTGGGACTTGCGATTTTTGGCAGAGCTTACCAGCGCTTGACTGGCCTTGGCACCTGGCGTCAGCTTGGTCTTGGAGACAAGTTTCGATGGCTCTGGATTTGCAGCTGTCGAAGTACCTGGTTGGATCTGACATTGGCGGTTGATGTTCTCCAGCAAAACACGTTGAGTCTGCAGTTCTTCCATCATCACTTGGATCTGCTGAGTGGTCTCGAGGGGCGCTTCTTCCATCAGGTTGTTTGGAGAGCTGACCTCGAGGTGCTGGATAAGCATCTGCAACAGCATTGTCATCACCTGGATCAGGGACTCGGCCACAGCCTTGAATAGGCTCACCACCGACGGCATCAGATCGGGTCGGATTCCGATCAAGGGCGTTGGGCAGCGCACTCGGGACAAAAATGGCTTTGTTGGTAAAATTGAATTTTCGGTTCATCTGTTTGTCAACATGACCTGGCAACTTCTGAAAACTTGGAGCAAATTTCTTCCCATGTAAACCTGCATGTTTGACTTTTTCATCGAAACATGTCTTCCCCACATAGGCTTGATAGCATTTTTCTTCCAAGTTAGAAACCCCTTGGCACAGGTCACCGACATTCACTAAGTATAACCCCGTGTTACTGAAACTCAGTGGTATGGGCTCATGGTGCAAGCGTTTCATGTAGCAAATGTCTTGAACTGCATCTAACAAACCACCTAGCATCTTGAAGGCTCTTTTGGATAGGAGGAATGGTGTCCCTCCAGGAACAACTTCCACCGCAAGCCAAACTGTGCGACGATCAACAGCTTTCAAAGGAAAATGGATACGGTGAGAACTTGTGAGAGACTGTTCATTGCCAAACCGAAACTTTATCTGGCTAGGACTGGTTTTCAATTTGCTACATACTTCAGGCGGCAGATGGCTTTGCAACCTTTTCAGTGTCTTTTCACCTATGATGCATCGGCTAGCCCCTGTGTCCAAAATGGCGCAAGTGGGACTCTGTGCGGCCGTGCTCAGAAGTATGGATTCTGTGGTCGTTCCATCAATCTGGTCATCGATCATTGGAGGCTGCATCAAAATCTCCTGAGGCTTCTTCCTGAACGGCAGAGCTTGATTTGGGTGCACAAACTTCGGACAGACAAACTTGGAGACAGACATAGGCGGCTTAATCTTACCCAAATTATGATTATTCCTATGCCCCAAGTTATCCCCAGGCTTATCCCCTTTAATACCTCTGGATTTCATGAAACGGACCATGCGATCTTGCAGTCTCTGGCGATCGGATGCATTGACATAAGGCCATGAGGCAGGTTTCATGGATGGCTGGTGAAACTCTTTCAAAACCCGATCCCGCCTGCATCTCAGTCATATCCTCGGCTTCGGAGTAGACCTCTTGGTCATGAGTCACGCAATCATCAAAGGCCACATTGGCCGCAGCGGCTGATTGGTTCTGGCTCTTGTCAGACACATTCAAAGGACACTCAGCTTTCCAGTGACCCACAGCTCCACACTTTCGGCAGTGTGAACGAGCAATGCGAGCCATGAGCTGCTCGCGGCTGCGAGAGGTCTTCCCTTTGAATTTTCCTTTGGCACCTTTTCCACAGCCTTTTGTGGGCCAAAACCCCCGATTCTTGCGTTTCTCTAAGAGGCGGGTTCTTGCCTCAAGGTATGTCGTCATTGCATCGTGCATCTCAGGAGTCTCTTGAAGAAACTCTTCCAGTTCATTTTCAAAGGCGCAAACTGTCATGGCATCGGCATCTTCCTGAGCAGCTAAAGCTTCGATGGTCTCATAGTCCAAGTCGAGGTCAAAGTCCTCGGTGGCCGTGAGGTATGCACGGTCATGGTTTTCGACATGATCATGTTCCATGGCATCTGTATGGTGAACATCATAGACCTTGGTCTTGTTCGAACTCTTTCCTGACTGAAACTCTGCAAAGAACTTGCTACCCAGAAGTCTAAAAGACTTGACAACAGGTTTGTATCTCAAATCGCCTTCATGTTCCAGCAAAATTCTCTTCTTATCTTCTGCAGGAAGCGTCGATTGACGCAATAGGACGTACGCCTGCACTTCCTCAAGCGTCGTTCCACGCGTGAGGAGTTCCACAAAACTGGATTCCATCCGGGACAAGAAAGAGTCATGGCTTTCGTCTTGTCTTTGAACAGTTCCATACAGTGCACGTTCGAAATGTTCATATCTTTCTTCCAATTCCGTAGGTCCCCAAGACCCACCGATTGCATCCACTAAGAGAGCTATGCCAGACTGGTTGGGAACCTTGAGCTTTTCTGGAGGAAGCCGGGCCACCTTCTTGAAGGCTGTTCCCTCCACGAGGAGGGCTGCTCTGGGAGCCAACAAAGCTAAATGCTCTGTTGGCCACATTGATGCCAAAAACTTAAGCTTCTGCACATACTCCTGGACATTGGTTGTTCCAGGAATGAACTTCGGAATGCTTTGCCAGGGCGGCTGTGGTGCCGCACTGGCCATGGATCCCCCCATTTCGGGGTCATCGGGGTCAGGAAGGGGCACACCGATTCCACCCCCTTGTCCATCCGCCGCAGTTGGCGGCATTGAGCTTGCAAATGGTCAAAACCAGCAAAAGAAAATTGCAAAAAGGATTGTCGGCCCCTGGATCGGCACTCTTACGGTGATCACAGGCACCGGAGCCTTGGAGGCTCCGCTACCAGTGTGAAAGGTCGTGGACCTCACACACTGGCAGCTTCACCCCAGGTCCACGCTTTGAAGATGGATCAACCCTGTTGATCTGAAAAGGAATGAATATCCAAATAAAAGGTCTGATTCCCAACCAGAGATAAATGAGCTGGATCCCGGTCCAAAGATGTAATCAAAGTAAAATCCCAAGGGAACCCTGTCCCTTCCGCAGCCAAATCAAAGGTTTTCACCAACGCGCCATGTGCTGCCCTGCAGCGCCTCTACCACGCCCTCCCATGACTTGAGAGGAAGCCACAAACCATGCAAAGGTCACTCACATCAAGGGACAAGCATCATACCTGCTGGAAAATTCACAATATATATATATATATATATGTGTGTGTGTATGTGCACGCACAGTAATAGAATGTAATAGATGATATACAGTTTTACAGATGCTAATTTATGAAAGTCGACCCGTGTCGCCCATGTCATGTCGATTGTTTTTCTCGTCGCCTGGGCAGCTTTTTGTTTCACGGCGCGCTGCTGCTGTTCTTCCAGCAGCTGCCTCTGCAGGCCACGCGCCAGCGCCTCCTCCATGCGCATCGTGCTGGTCGAGCCGCCCTCGGCATCGCGCCACATCTCCGCGTCGCGCTCCCGGACCTCAGGCCACGGAGGCCGAAGCGGAGGCCGAAACGGAGGCCGAAATTGAGAGAAATTTCAGATGATAAAGTGGATAAAGGATGACAAAGGGGTCTTAGATTCAGATGTCACGATAGCAAGGGGTCAGAGAGCTATGATGTGATTGCTATCAATGCCATTTTTCTCAACCCATGACATATTCATACAGGATGTACTATTCATATATACGGAAAATAACCGTACTTCAGCCAAAGACAGCTCAAATTTGAAATACATGTGTTAATGTTACAACATGCTTGGACTTACAAATCTCACAAGATGAGGCCTCGCCGCCAAAAGAAAACCTGCTGTTTTTAAAAAAGTTGCAACTTCTTGAGATCTGCGTAAGTCGGCTCTGACTTTCTTCAACGTCACTTCCAGCTCCTCCAACTCTGATTTCAGCAAATCCTCCCGAGCGCGTTGACTTTCCCGGGCCTTTTTTGGTGAAGCCGCAGCTTCTTGCCGGGCATCCCGCACTTCTTGACGCAGTGCAGTCACTTCATCCGCTTCAGCAGCGACTTCGTGCTGCAAATTCTGGAGTGCTTCATACTCAGAATGCTCTAGTGCACTTAGCCTTTTATTCTTCTCACGCAGTGCCACTCTTTCTGTCGACTCCGCAACCAGCTCCGTCTTCAGCCTGGCGTAAGAGGCTGCAGCAGCGTCGGCTTCTCTTGACCTCCTCCCACTGGTACTCTCGACCTCAAAACAACATCCTGCATCTGACAAAGTCATCTTGAGGGAACCCAAACTGCGTTGCAGTTCCCAAAACTGTGAAGATTTGGTTCTCTGCCAAAGATGTGCCTAAGATCTCTCTCTGATTTTAGAATTCGGCGGTTTCGGTTTGTGTTTCCGTTTCGGTTTCGGTGTTGTCCGGGACCTTTCTGAGCTGCTCCTGGAGCTCCAAGACTTCAGCGCGCGCTGTTCGGAGCCTCAGAAATGAAGATCGTGAAAAAAGATAAACATTGGCATCAAATTGGCATCATTGGCAAACTGAAAAAGAGCCAACTGACAAACTACGACGTGCAGATCTGTGCACATTCTGTGCATTACATTCTGTGTTCATACGACGTGTCGTCCGACGTGTCGTCCTTTCATCTGGCAGAATGTTGCAGATTTTTTTTTCCGCAAGCGGCTGCCAACTTGACTCAACTATCTCGATCAATCTTGTCTGTAATGGTTGAAACAACGCCGCGTTTAAGTTTCAAATGATCACTTGGAAGGTCTGTCCAGGAAACACCCCTTGTGGTACCTGAACTTGTCGTTGAAGTCCATCTGGGCATTGCACCATGAGCATTTGTCCAGGCACGGCATTTTGAGGTCACACCATCTGCGCCATGTTGATCTGCGGTGCCGTGAAGGACTGCGACATGCTAGGCTCTCGGGCGTTCTTGCGGAACTTGTTGCGTAGCACCCCGGCACCACAAACGGCTGCAGCTGCAACCAGCAACAGCCCAATGCCAAGGATGGGCCTGGCCATCAACCAAGCAACACCAATGACAGTCAATGATAGGGCCAACGAAATCAAGCAGTTCATGCAACACAAAGCACATCCAACTATCTCTCCGATCATCTCGCCGCAACAAGGAATGATCTCTGGCATCAGTGCAATGGGCCCTGTGACGAGTTGGAGGCCCAACCACAGCAAGATGAAGCCTACAAAGCGCAAAGCAATGACCATAGCACCATTCTCACTTTGCTTCTCGTTGATCATGTCCGATTTGGATAACCCACCCATTGAGACCCAATCTACCGAGGACATGCTACCAGGCAACTGGGTGTCCCAGGGTCTCATCTGAGCATTGCTGGTTGACATGGCAGCCTGCTTGGCGATGATGGCTACCTGTGTCAGGCCAAACTGGATTTGGGACTGGGTGAAGGTGGTCCGGACGTCGCCAATGGAGTTCTGTCCTGGGACCGAACTGAACTGCACCGAAGTGGCATTCACCTGCACCAGCTGCTTGTTGGGCAGCAAGCTGGTCCTCTGGCCTGAAGGAACGGTCACTGGCACCGATGGAAAGACACCCATCTCCTTGTTGTCCAGAAAGTAGAGGGAGTCTGTGGATGAACCCATTCCCACTGTGCCATCTGGAGCGTTCAAGGTCTGTTGAAACGAAGTTGGAATGGTTCCAGAGTTCTGAATCTGCAAGCCACTCCTCTGGCAGCCGGGTTTTGAACTGGGGTAACAATAGAAACTGGAGGAAGACTGAGGAGATGAGACCCACTCCAAGTTGTAGTAACAGACCACATCCCAGCCGCCTCCTCCAAGTGCACGATTGCTGCAACTCTCGGTCCACTGCAGGATGGTAGAGTCCGCCTTGAACCAGGCGCCCCGGATTTCCCCTGAGAATGACAAGCCCATGCTCTGCACCTGAGGGTCTGTAGTGAAGTCATAGCCACGTTGGACAACGCATGAAGCCCAAATGGGTTTCCCAACATTGGAAGCACTGGGGACGCATCCAGCTTCAATCACTTCCTTGTCCACCTTCAGCAGGATGGCCTGGTTGCGGACATAGTTGAACTCATTCCAGCCCAGTAGGAAGATGGATCCCAGGAAGAGCAAAATCCCAAAGCATACTCCGCACAGGGAATCGTCCATTCGTTGGACCACGGGGACATCCCCAAAACCCACGGCAAAACGCACGGCATAGCGCATGAGTTCATCCTTGTTCAGGAGCGACGCTCCGGTAGGAACTGACAGGATCTGCACGATGGACGCGGTGACGCGGGACGGAACCGAAAAGGACTTGAGCCAACGCAGATATGATCAGATATGTACGCATGGATATGAAGAACTTTGCGTGTGCATATGGAAATACTTTACATGCACACTATTTTGCCGCGCATGCATATAAAATGCGTGTTTGTGTTGAATTTCTGCTTGCAACATGAAAGCCGAAAATATCGTTTGTCATGCACTGAAGAGATAAACTGGTTTGCGGCTGATCGGAGGTATATGAAGTTGCTACAGACGTGGGATGTGTAGTTTGATCTTTGTTGGTTTGGGCGAAGTGAAAAACTGCAGCATTCTACACACCCAGATCTGCACAGATACCAAATGATCCGAATGTCCCATGAATGCAGCCCTTCAAATACTGTGCAAGAGAATTCGCACGGAACATTGGGCATACATCATCCCAATGTTGCCTGATGAAAAACAGGCTTTGATGAAAAACATAGGCAGTCAGTGTTCAGCGCTCCCTGATTTGTGTCATTGCGCCATGACTTGAACACCATGCAACCCAAAGACCCAAAGATACACTTTCCCAAGTCGTCCGCAGTCGTTTCAACACAAAGCATTAAAATATGTGCATTCAAATAATCAGAATTAATCTATCCATATTGATCCCATTTACTGGAAAACTCCCCGCCAACAATTGCAAAAGCAAGTCGCTCAGTTTCAAAAGGAGCGACTTCGTCCGTGGGAGCAACCGCCTGAAGAATTTGATCGAGCTTACGAAATTTACGAACAAGATCAATACGAATCGACACGAATCAACACGAACAGATAGGTGATCCTGCCCTCAAACAGGAATAGAGAGCGCGATGCAGTGCGGAAGGGGGATGTTTCATGATGTTTCTACCTTATCGAAAGGGAAGGCACTCGTGAACAAGTCGGTGGAAAGCTGAAACAATGCAAATCCAACAAAGTTGAGATGAAACAAGGCCATACAAAAATGTCCTGAAGACACGGCCTGAAATCGCCTCCACTCCAACTGAACACGTGGTATGACACGGAATGACTGCACAAAGTGGCATAATGTGTCCCGCCTCACCCTGGGTGGCTGCTTGTCCTGTGAAGTTGAGAACAGCCTTTTCATGATGGCCCACAGTGCAACGAACAAGAGCTATACACTGACTATGTTGACAAATACTGTCTGTTTCAAAAGAGTGACACTGCCCCCATTCAGACAAGAGCATATCTCATATCTCTTCATATCTCTTCATATCTCTTCATATCTCATATATTTCCTTCATTCTCCTTCATCCCGGGCCAAAGTCGACGGATCGTGAACGGTTTCCTAAGGTCTTTGTGTCCGTTCTGTGTCTGGTCAGTCTGGTCTTTCGCCCTAAAAAAAGCCTCCGTTGTGGATCATCCTGTTGGACTGGGATGGCCAGATTGGTGAATCTCTTGCTATCTGTTGCTATCTGTTGCTATCTCAAAAATTGAAACATCCATAAACATCCATAAACATCCCAAATTTTATCTATGTTCATCTATTTTCATCTATTTCATCTACTTTCCCAATTTTCATCATTTTTCCCTTCCAACCCCCACACGGTCTCCTGAAATGTCCCTCGAAACTTTCTTGGCTTTGCTTCCCATGGATGCCACAGAGGCTCGTTGGATTCCAGAACTGTAAGGTCTGTCAACTTGTTTTTCCTCCAGTTTTTCGGTTGCAGAACTTGAGGGTTCCGCAGATTTCTTTTTCTCTCTCATCACCTCTGGTGCTGGCTGGGCAGGCGCTGGTGGTAGAGCCGGTGTAGGCGGTACCAGTGGTTCAGCTGCTGATTTTTCAGGTTGGTCCGACCGCACCGGTGCTGGCACCGGTGGTGCTGGCACTTGGTACGCTGGCTCCTGTGGCTCCTGCGGCTCTTGTAGCTCCTGTGACCCTGAAGTGATGCTTGGCTCGGCAACGGCAGCTGCGAGGTTCGTGGCTGCAACATCTTCGGGGGGATCAGTGATGCGGACAGGTTCCACAAGTTCGACGGGTTGGACAGGTTCGACAACAGGTTCGACGACAGGTTCGACGACAGGTTCGACGACAGGTTCGACGGGTTGGACAACAGGTTCGACAGGTTCGACAGGTGCGACAGGCGACAGATTGTCGCTGCCTTTGGCATCTTTGGCATCTTTGGCCTTGGTGGCTGCAGCTCTGGAATCGTCTTGGGTCTCGGATGTCTCGGTTTTCAATTCTTCAACTTTCTCAGGTTTGTCGGGTATCGACGCTGCCTCTTTTGTTTCCTCCACTCTTGGACCACTTTCTCGATCTCCCATGCTCGCAGCTTGGATCGCAGGTTCGGGTTTTTCTGGTGCTGGTGGTGCTGGTGGTGCTGGTGGTGCTGGCTGCTCTGGCTCTACTTGTGGTTGGGGCGGGTCCACCGGGGCTTCATCTTTTGGAACCAAGCCCGGATCTTTGCTGGGTTGGGGCTGGCTGGGTTGGCTGGGTTGACTCGGGGTGGTTTGTGGCTGTGGTTCGGCTGCAACTGGATGGGTTGAATGAACGGATCGAATGGATCGCCGCTGTGCCCCAACAGGTTCCAGTGGCTCGGCTTGTTCACGGGCAAAAAAAATAAGCGTCAACGGACGCTGCTGAGAAATCATATCCCTGAACTCTTCTTTGGACACTAGTTTCAAATCTTTCCCTTGAGCTTCGACCAACAAGTCACCTGCAAACACTTCATGCTGCTCTCCCCAACTACCTGCTCCTACCGATTTCACTTCAACATGACCAGGTGGCAAACTGTGAAACGCAAGACCCAACTTTCCAACACCTTCTGCAGCAACGAGTTGGAACAGATCCTTGGGTTCATAGCCAGCTGCCATGGAAGTGTAGTCGTTCAGCCACGGCGAAAGGCTTCAAGCTATGGCTATCCAGGCAGGGCTCAGCCGGGCTCAGCCGGGCTCAGTCGGGCTCAGGCGACAATGTTTCGCAACCATTGGGGCCACTGGGAGTTGCATCCATGAGGCAAACACAACATTGCTCAGAAAGAAAACGGGAAGTGGGAAATTCATAAATCAAAACGAATCAAATCGAATCAAACCTCAAATATACCCAAACAGAATGAAACCCAACCTAAAACATCTTTCCAAAATTCATGAGACTGAAAAGAACAAATGTAAATCTCACACAGACTTATGCTGTATCTTGAAGCCAGGCTGACAAAACCCAGCTGACAAGAGCAACAGAACCCAGATCTCCCCCCCGCAAGTCAGATCAGAACCACAGTCAGGGCCTGATGTTTTTATATGTTTTATAATGTCAATATCTTGGAATCTGAATGCAATACTTGTTAGATCTTTTTGGTAGCTGTTCAATCTGTTCAAAAGCATGTGTTCAATTTTTTCACTCAAGTTGCTCTGCCTTCAGTGAAACATGCAGAGCCGCACAGCTCTCCGCTCTCATGTTTGAGTTGCAGATCCACTGTGGCTAGCACCTGCGGAGTCTTGTAACTTCTTCACATATTTTACATCCTTCTGAGCATCTGAAAGGTCTGAAAGGTCTGAAAGGTCTGAAAGGTCTGAAAGGTCTGAAAGGTACTTGGTTTGTGATCGAAAACTCCATTTGAAGAAACTGCGGTTTCCCCGAGTCGATATCGAACGTTTTGCCAGCTGCTGGGCTAACTTCGCTTGGGCGTCTTCGGTATCATCCCCATCTTGACGCTGGTTTGCGTTTGAGGAAATTGCGTCAGTTTTCAACTCAGGTGTTGGAGGAGCTGTTTGCACATCGGCCAGGCGATAGCGATCAACTGCATGTTTCTTCGGCCCATCCTCAAAATGCAGTTAACTCAGTTGACTCAGTTGACCCTCGATTTTTTATCATCTGCACAATCTTGTGAAGGAAAATTTACCTCAAGACATGCACAAGACATGCAGCAAAACAATACCGCAGTTGAGGTAAAATGTTGTGCCTCGCGAATGACCGACTGGCAAGGCGGACGTCGAGGTTGTCGACGTGGTTCATCCGGAGGCGTGGGGATGAATTTCCTCACAGTCGAAAGCATCAATCATCAGCCTGGTTCAACCAGTCACCAAAAAAATGTTTCGACCCTAATGTGCATCGTCCCTGCTTGTCCAACGCGCCTGGGTGATGAGGCCATCTACACGCCATGGGGCATCTGTAGCATTTATTTTGGGACTACTGGCGTGAAGAAAAAATCACTTGGATCAATTTGGTTCAGCCTTTGCCGGTCCGTGCCAACCGTTGGTTCAATCTAATTGCCACTCATTTGAATTGCTGTACGTGTTCAGGCCTGACCTGAGCCATTGACCAACGAAAGCATACACAATCTGCACAGTTGCATAGGCATTTTCCAAATTCTTCACATATACACAAAGCCAAAAAAAAAAAAGATTTTACACAAACCAATTTTTTGACAAACCACCTTTTATGTAAACCACCTTTTTCACCAACCAGCTTTACACAACCACTGCTTTGTGCCTGTAGAACAAAAGCCAGAAGGCCGGCGGAATGCTGAAAGCTGTTAAATTGTGAGTTCTGAATTGTGGAGTGCGAACTTTTGTGCAGGCAGTGTGGAGTGTGGAGTGGAGGGTGGGGAGTGTGGAGTGTGAAGTGGAGTGGGGAGTGTGAATTGTGAAGTGCGGAGTGGAGACTGTGAAGTGCAAGTTTTGCAGTACGAAGTGGTACTGGGCAGTTTTTTGGGCAATGCTTAGAGTAGATTGTAATAGTGGGAAGAGTTTTGTGCAAGTCTTGTGGTACGAAGTAGTTTTCAAGCCTGCAACACACGTGTTTCAAAATCATGCCAAATTCATGTCAGACTGACTTCAGGCTGGGAAGCGCTTTGTGCAGACAACGTCGTCCAAAGTAGTATTGGGAAGCGCTTCGCGCAAGTTTTGCAATAAAAAGTAATGTTGGGAGGTACCTTTGTAGCACAAAACAATACTGGTAAGTACTTTGTGCAAGGCTTGTAGCACGAAGTAGGGCTGGGAAGTACCTTGTGCAATGCTTGTACTACGAAGAACTAACGTTGGAAAGTGCGTTGTGCAAGCTTTGTAGTACAAAGTAGTACTGGAAAGTATGTGTGCAAAGCTTGTAGTGCAAAGTCGCGCTGCAACGTGCATTTGTCAGTATGTAAAGATATATCCACTGCACTCACCCATGTCATGTCATGCTCAGTTGGATGTGTAGTATCTGTTCTTATCAGTGTGACAGTTGATGCATGTCACAGGTCTGCATAGGCCACTGCGCAACGATGACACGCCACTGGATGGTGGCTCAAGCAACGCGAGTAGCGGAGCCCAGTGATCCAAAGGGACAAGGACCTTTGGTGAGGGCTCCAGGTTTCCAGGTCATGTGGACCTTCATGGCGTCGTTGATGCTGATGGCAGCTGATGGTGGTGGCAATGGTGAACTTGGGGCGCTTGGCATGGCTGAGTCCTTTGTGAACATGCCTGAGGAACCCGAGGCTGGAGAACACCACATGTGGAGCTGCAGAAAATTCGGGGCCTATGACTTAGGCGATGTTGGACATCAAGGAGAAGGTCAACAAGGAGTCCAGCAGATAGAAAGCGCGCAGACATGGACAAGTACCACAGATCTATAGATGGATGTAACTACATGGAAAAGCACAACAGGCCCATGGACAAACCCGGGAAACAGAACAGATATAGCATGGGCATGCAAGTGCAGATGTTGGAACGAGATGGTGAACCAGGCCGGCATGTGGTACAGTCAGGGCATTGGAGAAACCTGGAACTTGGTGAACATGAAAGAGCCCAATGACAAGCACGGCAATTTGAACCACTTCTTGGAGATGAATGAGTATGACATGATGGACTATGGGAAGCAACACTTGGTGATCAACGAGTTCAAGGTCTTCGATGGAGCATGGTTCTTGGAGAACATTGACTACAAGCTTGGCTTTGCACATTGCTTGGACTTCATCGACCTCAAGATCTTCGAGCATCACTACATGAACAACTTCGTGGACAATGTCTTCAATGGTTGGCAGTGCTTGGTGAAGTATGTCTTCAAGGTCATTATCTTCATCCTACGTTTCTTCCTCTACATGGTGGACAAGGTCGTGGTTATTTGGCATTCTGGCTTGACGCGGCTTGCAGCGATGTGTCTTTGCAGTTTCTCCTGGACAAGCTCTACAAGCAGAACAGTGGCAAGCATGGCTATGAGCTGGATGGCATCTATGCCAATGGCGCTAGCACAAGAGCTACTAGGCAAGGAGTTGCAGTTTGGTTTGATGGCAGTCATCTTGGTTTGCATCACATGGTTTCTGGCATTGATGAACAGAAATTGGATGAGCAGTCAATGGATGAAAACATGTCAGACTTCACGAGTGACACGTTTAGAGAAGAGATGTGCTGGCAGAAAGCGTTGCAGTGAAAGACGAAAGTTGATGGCTGTGTTTTTCTTTGCAGTATTGGACATGTTCATGCAATGGGGCAACAACAAGCAATGCTGGAAAGAGTCGTGGCATTAGCTGAAGCTGCCACACGAGCAGCTGTAGCAGCTGAGAGAGCAACAACCCAAACAGTGCAAACAGCAGCAACTGTAGCAAAAGCAAGTTCAAGTGCAGTTTCAGATGGATTTCAGGCAGCATCAAGGATACTCAAGAATCCCGACATGTACAGTGGAGAAGATGCAATGGGCTTTGCATCATGGCGTTTCCAGTTTATGTCATGATTGACATATGGTGATTCAAGGTTTATTCAAATTCTGGAAGCTATAGAGGCCAGGGATTCAATGCCAACAATGGCAAACTACAATGAAGCTGAGAAAGAAATGGCTCACAAGTTGTACGCTGTTTTGACAAGCTATTTGCGTGGCCGACGCGCTCATTTGGCCAAGGCGCATGCAAAGACCAGAGATGGTCTAGCTGTTTGGTATAGTTTGATGAGAGAATTTGAGCCTAGCTCAAGACACAGGAGCTTGGCGCTAGCTCAGGCTTTGGCGTCATACCCAACATTTCCCAAAGACCGATCCTGTATGGATTCCATCATGGTCTTTCAGGAGACAATTCAAAGGTTCGAAGAATCCTCCAATACCAAGTACCCCGATGAACTCAAAATAGCCACTCTACTTCAGTGTTCCCCTGCAAAACTCAAAGAGCACCTTCAGCTCACCTTGGACGACAAGGCGAACCTACAACCAGGTCAGAGAGCAGATCCTCAACTTCGAGCGTGTGTCGAAGAGTTGGAGCCATGAGACAATGCTAACGTCTATCCATGATGCCAACAAGGGCGTTGCCGATGGACCCACACCAATGGAGGTAGATAGAGTTGAAGGCAAGTCCAAGGGCAAGGGGAAGAAAGGCAAAGGAAAAGGAGGTTGGAACATACCTTGGGGTGCAGGTCGTGGTTTTGGTGGTAGAAGTGGAGGAAAAGCAAAAGGCAAAGGCAAGAAAGGACGTGGAAGAGGCAACAACAAAGGAGGAAAGTCAACGGCCAAGAAAGGAAAGAGCAAAGATGGTCAGAAAGGTAAAGCAGCAGGTTACAATCAATGCAAAGTCTGTTTTGGCTATGGTCACTGGAGTGGAGAGTGCCCACAACGTATGGATGTGAATAACGTGCCGCAAGATACTAGCTACACTGGCTCTCCAGTCAACAACAATGGAGCTTCGTCGTCTTCAGTGTATCGACAAGGTCAAGGTGAACTGTCGCCAGTGCAGCCGAAAACAGGAACAGTGCGCAGAATTTTTCACATCACTCCTTCCTCATCATACCCTTCTTCTCCTGCATCACCAGCTTCAAGCCGGCATGTGAGAATGGTTGAATTGCTGGATAGCTCAGATGAAGATATGCATGTGAGAAAGGTGGCCGGTGAGGACTGGATTATTTTGGACAGCGGTTCAGATGTGAGTTTGCTTCCTGCAAGGTTTTCAGTAGATGGTAACACAACTGCAGGTACCAGTTTGCGAAACTGTCAAGGTGGAAAACTCAAGACACATGGCACTAGGTACACCGACCTTCAAGTGCGTGACATTGAAGGTGAAGAAGTTCTTTTGCGTTATGAGTTTATTGTTGGTGATGTGACTACAGGTTTGGTTTCGCTTGGGCGGTTGTACCAAGCAGGCTGGAGAATTGATGGTGAAGGCAGCAATGAACTTTTCCTGATAGATCCACAAGATCAAATCAAAGTGCCTGTGTATTTCAAGAACAAATCGTTGCAATCAGAGCATGTGTGCGTCATGTTGAAGAACGAGAAGATGATGGTGACTCAGATGTTTCTTCCTTTCATGCGTGTGCTGTGGTTCAAATGTTTGAGGAAATGGAGCTTTGTGACTTCAACACGTGGCAGATGACAGAGTCTGGAACAACCTACATCAAGAATGTGAGGAACAGCCATGTGGATCCCCGACCAACTTGGGGGCACTATTGGCGTTTCAGAACAACTCTAGTCAGAAGAACAAACACCACCGACAGTTGGACACTGGTGGAGATGACCCAACGTTTCATGGACAAGGATGAACCATTTGGATTGATTGATGAGTGCATATTCAACATGGACGGCGAGTGCGAGATTCTCACAATTCTTGGAGTTGAAGAAGATGGATTTGAGGAATTTGGAGATTTACTAGACGAAGATGAAGAGGTGGATGGACCACTTCGACTTCCTGACTCACAACCTCAGGAACAACAACCAGCAGTTCCAGTTGAACAACGTCAAGATGTTTCTCAGGGTGCGGTTTCAAGCAAGGATATTCAAGTGCGTGAACTTCCAGGTCTTCTCAACCAGATCCTCTTGGTGGAGAAGAACCTGCAGCAGCTTTAGCAGATGTAGCTTTTCCTGAGATTGAATCTGTGGAACTGGATGATCGTTTGATTTTGACCTGTGAGTCTCCAGTCAAAGACTTGCGAGCAGGCTGTCGTTTGCTGGGAATTTCACAAGCTGGATCAAAAGGCAAGATGTCTGAGCGTATCAAGAAGAGCTATGTTCAAAGTATGAGACGTGCAGCAATTGACATGGCAAGAGCAGAATATCAACGAGAAGAAAATCCTGCACAACCAGCACACCTAGCAGCGCGTCAACCAACTCAGCGTGAACGTTCTCTCCATGAATTGACTCACCTACCCTACTGGGATTGGTGTCCGTTTTGTGTTTCAACTCGTGCTCGAGGTGACTATCATGCAAGTCATGCTGACCCTGATCTCGCAGCAGAGCGAGATCGACCCACAATCCAAGTTGATTTTTATTTTTGTGAAAATCGTGACAAGTCAGAAGGTTCTCTCGGGGTCAAGCCGATTTTGCTTATGGTGGATTCATGGACAAGATATGCACATGCAGAACCTATCAAACCCAAGAACGCCAAGACGGTTGGAAGTGCAATTTCAAAACTTGTTGGAAGTCTGGGTTATGTTGGTGCGGTTGAAGTTTGTGGAGACAATGAGAATGTTTTGGTCAGTGGCATGGAATTCTTTAAGCAGGTCAGAGCTCGTCAAGGTTTTAGCAAGTTTAGCACAACGGTCACGACCAATCGCAACTACAGCAAGGATCGCGCTAGCATTTCTGAACGAACAATTCAGACTGTCCGCAATTTGCAAAAGACACTGGTAATGCAACTGGAGGAATCAATCAAGTGCAAGATTCCACAAGGACACGCAGTTCTTTACTGGGCGGCAATGCACTCCACTTGATATCACACTCACAGTACCACAAAGATCACACCATACCAAGCTGTGAACGGACGACCTTATCACAACAGAATCGCTTGTTTTGGACAGGTGACCTATGGACTTGATCCGAGGATCCAAGTATCGTCCTACCTGGAAGAAAGGGATATGGTTAGGAAAAGATGGTTCTGATCATGATGTTCAGGCTACAGCAGCTGGCACAATTACAAGGACAAGGTCAATCCGAAGAACAGCGCTTACATGGTCTGCAGATGAATTTTTGAGTTTGGTGATTGGACCGTGGGACACCACGGGCTACACGCAGTCAAAGGTGAAACAGAAACCAGTTCTGGCTTTACCACCGAGACCATTCTTTGATGAAGAAGCAGAAGCAGTCAAAGGACTTCAAGATTCAGATGACGAACGTGAACAAGCTCAACAAGAAGTTCAATCCAATGCATATGAGCCCACAACACCCGATGGATAAGGTCCCCGACTTGAAGATGTCACAGAACGAGATGATGGTCGAGTTCCTGTTCCTTCTCTTCCTCCTCTAAGTGCAGTACCGGTTGATCCCGGAATGGAAGCACCACAAACGCCAGAAGAGATGTTGATGTCTGGCGGAGGTGGGGCTAGTCCTTCAAGCCCTACAATGGATGTAGACTCATCAGGTCATGCAGCATCCAAACACAAGGCAGGGACTCAAGGTGGCACAGTAGTAAAAGCTTTGAAGTTTGATAGTGAACCAGTTCCAGAGACAAAAGTCAAAGCGGCAAAAATGGACGTCCGACGTGTTGGCGAAGTGGAGATCACACACAATGATGTGATTGGTTTGGAAGATGACTGGGAATTTCTTCCTTATGAGGACGTAGGCTCAGAGGATGAAAGTATCAACAAACGTCTTGAAGAAGACGGCCCACCTACAGTTTCTCCTGAAAAGCTTGCGGAGTTGGATGCACAAGCAGCTTTGGATGAGGTTGCCAAGTTGTATGAAATGCACGTGATTGCACCAGAAGAGATTGATGTGAGAACAATCCCGAGCCACAAGCTCGTTGACACCACTATTGCGAGTGATTGGCGCTACAGAGAGAACAAGTGGCGCAGAAGATGCAGGATAGTAGCAAGAGAGTTCAAGTCCGACAACACAGACGAGAACAGCTTTGCACCAACCACAACCTTCGGTGCAGTTCGTATTCTCCTAGTCCTCAGCATGGTCTTCAACTTGATGCTCACTGGAATTGATGTGAAAAATGTTTTCTTGTGTGTTGAACAGCAAGAAAAGATGCTTGTGGTAATCCCTCAATGGATCAGAGATCTATCTCCAGAAGACAAGTCTACAGTTTGGAGATTGAAGCGTTGTTTGCCAGGACAACAGGATGCAGCTTTGCGATGGTTTGAATATTTCTCTAATTTGTGTCAAAGTGCTGGAATGGAATCTTACAAGGGATGTCCCACAATCATAAAGTTGGTGAACAATGAGAGACGAATGTATTTATCGGTACATGTGGACGATGTGCTGTTGGTTGGAAATGAAAAGGACTTAGAATGGTTCAAGAAGGAAGTTGCTTTCGGTCTCACGATCAAAGTCGCTGGTCCTCATGCACAAGGCTCAGGCGACACAATGTTTTACCTCAAGAAACGTATTACACTTTTGCCTGAAGGAATTTTGGTGTAGCCCAATGGTACCTATATTCCCAAGTTCATCACCATGTTGAAATTTTCTGGCAGAAGAAGAAGGGTCTCCACATCATGCGGCTCTCGAAACATACAACT